CCCCTCCCCCCCTCCCCTCCGTTGCCCGTTAGCAGACCCCCTGTAGCTGATCCAGGCCTGTGCCATGCAACAGCTCCCTGTCTCCTACCAAACATTCCCGCCGCTCATTTCCAGCGATCATTACATCCTGCACCCTCCACCGCCTGTGCCACCACACCAGCCTCCACATATGGCTCCCCTCAGCCAATTTGTTCCGCTCCAACCCCAGCATCCTCGCATGGTAAGTCTCTTGGGCTGGTACTGGTTGAATTGGAAGGAAGTGATGCCTGGGACCTATCTCTCCATGTTCGGGTCTGTGGTTGTTGTTGAGAGATGCTGGATCTGGCACGGTCTGGTTCCTCTGCTGGACTGTACAGTCTGCTGACTCCTTGCTCTCTTGAGTGTCAGTCATCAAAGGAAGTTTCTTGCAGTTGTTGTGAATGTAGAAAGAAGTTCGTACAAAGTCCAAATCTCATTATATCTGGGTAAGGCCTCCAGTGGTCATGAGGAGGGTGCTGCGTCATCTCTGTATCAGGAAAATCCTCCTTTCATGGTCTCCTACACACCACAAGCATTGCCTAGAGTCCCGTGTAGCTCAGGCTAGACAACAGACCTAAGTCTGAACTGTGTACACCATCAGCAGCCCCAATGCGACCTTGCACAACATGCATTGTATCCATAGGATGAAGCAGAGTGAGAATTAAGATTGCCATTGACAGGCAAAACTTTAAAGCTCAAGGCTAACCTTGTGATGGAGGAGCCCTGTGGCTGCTAATTTTTTTGGCCTTGTCTGGTCTGATTTAATCTGGTCTGTGGCAAAATGCCAATCTTTGCTAGCTATGAGGCTTTCATGTGTGAGGGATAAATTTTTCTAGGCAGTACCAGGCCTCCCCAAGCTAGTGCCTTGCAGGTGTTTTGGACTACAATTCCCAGCATTCCTACTGTTGACTGTTATTGCTGGGTTTAGTGGGATTTGAAAGCCAAAACACCTGAAGGATACCAGTTTAGGGAAAAGCTATGTCCTCCAGTGCTACCTGCATCTTTTCTATATCTTCTACCTTTGTAATTAGGGGGTTGCTCCCCCACCTGATGGTTTCTCTTTGAAGAGGAGGAAAATTAAGACAAAATGTTTCAGTGGTGGCAGATATGGAGCAAGAGCTTCACAAGGTGAAGTCCTATATTCCTACCAATCCGTCATGGAGCTTTTTCATGCATCAAATTCATCATGAGGGACTTATTGCCAGAGGCAGCAATACTAAGAACATGAGAGTCTAAAAAAAATAGCCAAATTGTGAGAGAGCATTCATGTCAGAAATAGGTGGGTTGAGTGGTATCGGGTAGAGTGCAAAATGAAGATTTTTATTTAGGGTTTTAAATGAGCAACATTGAGAACATCCTTAAAAAGAATAATCTTGGAAGCTGCTCTATTCCAGTCAGAACTTTGGTCATCAGGCTCAGAGATGTCTGTGCTAGCTGACAGCAGCACTCTAGAACTGGATTTCCAGCATGGTGCTCATAGATTCCAGTCTTGGTGCCCTCCCTGCCCACTCTGATCTTTTTTATTGCTTAAGGTTTTTTTCCTTTTTAATTTCTGTGAAGTTGCTACGCTGCAAAGCAAAGTGCTACTATTCGTTGCCATCTTTATTTGTGTTTTGGAGTGCAGAGTGCCCCTGCCTTTTAGGCAAGTTTCTTAGTTTTGTTTTCCCTTCTACTGTGCCTTTTCGGAAATACTATTGTGAGCAGCCACATCCACCATGGCAGTCACCTTATGAATGAAAACGTCCTCCAATATGGCAGTCATGTGTTAGAGTATCCATTGCCGTCCCAACATTCTAAATGCATCCACTGGCCCAAGAAGTCAGGGGACCATAATAGGGCTTTTCCAGCCAGGATTGAATTGGGACCTTCTACATGTTAAGCAAGTGCTCTGTGGCCCTTCTCAGTGGCTGATCAGTGTATACTGAAAGAATCCTGCTGAAATGAAGTGTACACAATACCAGATGTCAGTTGGTTAGAATATTAGTCCCAAAAGACAGTCAGCCCTGTTGCGCTTAAGTTCTTTCTCCTTTAGATTCTTTTATCAAGGAGAAGCTATCCACAATTCTTGGTATCTGAACATAGAAAGAATTATCAAGAGGAAACTCTCTGGTAATCCTTAGATAAAGAACAGGCTCGATGTTGCGAGGAGAGGTAGCTCAGGACTGGCCATAGGTGTCCGTACTGCTGCTGCCGTAAGCCTCTCTTTCCAGGGATTGGATCTTCTTACTGTGTACCACTGCTCATTGTTGCCTCTGGAAGAGGCACTCCTGAGCCGGCTGGTTCCTAGTAGCCATTCTGTCATACCGTATGTGCCTGCTCCTGTCCTGTTATGGGAAGATAGTGGAGTAGAGAGTAGGGGCATAGAAGGGGAGGGAAGAGTCGTCGAGTCGAAGTGGAAATTCTTTGAGTACAGCTGAGAAGAGCTGAAGAAACAACCAGAGGGTGCAGGGGCAGGCCCACGAAAAAGAAGTGGGATTGGAAGGAACTCTTTGATAGAGAAAATTTAACATGCAGCTGGTGAAGGACACTTGATATCATTGTTGGTATCATTGTTTGTCATAGGGTTCACTGGTGTGTGTTTCCTTGTTGTTTGATGCACTGGATAAGAATAAAGAAATATTGCTTAAGCACCCAGTAGCCAAGGGACTGATCAGTGCCTTGCCCCGTGTCGGTAGCTGACAGGGCCTTCCTCAGCCTGGTTTCCTCTGCTTGTGTGATGCTGGCAGGCAGTGATGGGAGCTGTAGGGCTAGTCGGTGAGCCCTAGACTGAAGAAAGCAGCTTCCCTCCCTTTGTCAGAATGACCATGGAGCATGGCTGGTGATGCACCCCTCACATGGTGTAGGGTGCAGGTTTCCTGCTGCATGTGCGGACAGATGAAGGGGTGGCATTTCTCTCTGGAGGGCAAGGACTTTCTGCGTTGTGAGTCAGTAGTCAGATATTGGTGCGTAGTAGCAGGCGCTTTGTTACTCAGTATGGATTCCCACCAAACAGCAGTAAAAACAGACAGGACCGTTTCTTACAGCAAGGTTTGGGGCGGGGGGGTTAGACTCTTTTTCTGCCAACCATTTTCCTCCCCACAGAATGTGTGTTTCCTGTGTTGGAGCAAGGAAGCAGCATCCGTCCCACCTACTGGCAGTCCCCACACGCGCACACATATTCCATGACTGTTTGGCAATGATCTGCAAATGTGGCTTTGCTGTTGTCATGTGTCGTTCTGTCCATAGAGAGAATGCTGGGAAGAACAGCAGAGGAAGGAAGAGGATTCCCATCAGGTTAACTCTGGAAGGTACCTCGCAGACTGTCCTGGTGATGACACGTGGAAGTTGGTGTTAGCAGTGCCATCTTTTGTGTCCCTACAGGAAAAATGGGGTCTTCCCTCTGTTCCAGTAGCTGGGCAGTACTATTCAGTGCAGCCTTTCTGATACCCAGGGCATATTTGGGTGCTGTTGCTAATTAGCCCTGCACATCATTTGCTTTTCTCCACAGCCTCTGCAAAGGATAGAAAATGAGGTGGAGCTTCGAGGGGAACAGCATTCCATCGGAGGGTTCTCGTACTCTCCTTCCCACCATACTCCCGCACTGTCTCCCTCTGTGCCACTGCATTACCTTCCGCAGACCCATGATCCACTACACCAGGAACTGTCCTTTGGCATGGTGAGTGGCGCGTGCGAGGAAGCTGCATTGCAGGCTTGCAAGTCTGGGGATCCACACAACCCAGCTTGATCCAAAATGTCATGCCTGTTTTCAGAGTTAGTGGTTCTCTTCCAGGAACTTAGCTGCATGGGCAGATGTGAAATAATAACCCAACACCATTCAGAACTTCAGTTGTTGGGCATTATAGAAATTAATTAATTGAATGAATGAATGAATGAATGAATGAATACTTGCATAAATATTCTACCATCTGCCCTTAACCCTTGAAGCTCCAATTCATCTATTAGGGTAGTCACCTGGACAAATATAGACTATATATAGACTCTTATGCCTGGAGATAAGTGTGTACCATAATTCCAAGGGGATGCATTTGCTTAGTGCACATTAAATGTTGTCAGGTTTTTTTTCCTTTTGTGGACCTTGTGGCTGGGAAAATATGCTTGAAAGAGCTTGCTGGTTCTTTTGGAAGCTGGTGGGATGGCTGAATGAGATTTGCAACAATGAGAGTGTGGTTCCATTGCCCTGCTCAGCTCCTTCCTGCTCCCCGTTCCAGCCGGAATAAGTCATGCAATGAACTAAAGAAGCAGACTAGGCTCTGCAGATGTGTTTGATTTGAATGAGAGATGGCGCTCGAAAGTCCTGTGTTTCTTAGTACAAAGCATTTTTATTTGCCCAGGTGCAGAACTTTTGTTTTTTACTTGGCAAAATGTGTGTGTGCATGTGGACGCACACTTACGCATGTGCACATACTTAGGGATTAGACAACACTGACCCAGCTCTGGTATTCCCAACAGCCATATCCGCACATGATGCCCCGGCGACTGAATACCCAGCGATACAGATTGCAGCAGCCGCTGCCACCCCCACCCCCCCCCCCCCCCCCCTACTACCCCAGGTTCCTGCCCTACTTCCTGTGAGTATCTGTTGGCTATGCATCATCAAACAGGAGCGAACTGCTCCTTGGAATCCTCCCTTCATTGGAGCAAGGAGCAGATGTCTGAAAGTGGAGGGGTTGCCTTTCAGGGTAGCCCCTTTGTAGGAATGCGAGCCACCTTTTCTGCTCCAGCAATGTGCAGGGTGAAAACATAGGGCTTGATTCTGTCCTGTGCATGTGCCAGTGTGTGATTTCTGTTTTTGTTAACCACAAGCCACTTCTTTTTTTAAAACACTGCAGTTCAATGCTTCCTGTGTCACCAACAGCTGTGGGGCCCACAATAAGTTTGGACCTGGATGTGGATGATGTAGAAATGGAGAACTATGAGGTAGGTTGTTAAGTTATAAGACTATGGAAAAGCACTAAAGCAGGAGTGGGCAAAAAGCAGATCTTGATCTGCTGGTAAATCTGAGTGATTTGCAGTGGATCAACAAAGATTTCTGGTCCTCAATTGTTGTAGCTGTAAAGTAAGCCATCACTCCATCCACCCACCCTGAATTATACTGCTGAAATGAAAGGAATGGCTTCATTCTTTTCTGGAATTCAGAATAAATTCCTGGGCTCAGAATTCTTTAATTCTAACTGTGTATATTTTTCACCGGATTCCACTTGGTGCATCTTGGGGCTGTTGTAAAAGCAAAGTAGACCCTGCAAGGATCTGCCCACTCCTCTTCTGCAGCAACACATGGTTCTGCAAGTTGGCAGAAAGCACTTAGGGCTGTTGCACTGAAGGGAATGTGTGGTGGTGGAAGGAGGGGGCAGAGGTACAACAGGCAGTGCTGCATCTCCGTGGGGCTCCCTCTTCAGGCAGGGAAGCAGAGCTGGGCTACACTGCTCCCCAACCCATATTCCACGGACCAAATGACATCCACCTCATGTCAGGGAGGTGACCCTGTGCCCTGAACTTCCCTCCCTTACTGCTGTGTGGCTGGCATCCCTTCCCAACAAAAACAGTCACTCCAATTGATACTACGAATGCCTTTATTCTACACAGTATTACAGTTGCAGTCACATAGGCTAGGAAGTTGTCCTCTCATTCTGAATACATTCACCTTACATTGGATTTATGAACCCTTTGGGGCAATCCTTCTAAAGGTGGGGCGCTATGACCCCTTTCCCTGCGTCACTCAATCATTGTCGGTTCTACCTGTCCCAATCTGCTTGTGCGCCTGCAAGAACGAGTGTCCTCTGCAGCTTCTTCCATGTTATCTCCTAAGTTCCCACATCCCATATCTGCAAGGGGTGAAACTGTTTCCCCATCAACACCCAAACTGGTCTCTTGATGTTCCGCTGTTTTGACTGCTTCCTGAACCTCCTTATCTAATTTCTCATTTCTATCGTCTGTGCAGCTGGGGAGTACAGATTGTTCTGCTGGCACTAGAACTAGCTCTTCATCAACACTCTGGTTCTCATGGGAAGTTTCCTCCTCTTGCGCGCGCGTCAGAGACTCTTCTGAGTCCATGTGTATGACACTTAACCCTCATTTCTTCATGGAACTTTGCCTTCTCCCAGTTTGGAAAAAAAGCCCAGGGCACCCTGCAGAAATGCAGGGTGGCTTGGATGCTGAGGCTTGTCCGCATGGAAAGAACCGTTGCCTTCCCCTGCCCCACGGCGTGGGTGTGTCCTGCCACCGATCTCAGAAAAGAACAGTGGTGGCGAGAGGTGATGTGGTGAAGGGTCCTCGTGGGCAGTGCAAGATTTGCCCGTGTGGTTCTCCAACCACGTGCTCCCTGGCATGGGCAAGGCCACCGGACAGCCCCGTTCTCTCTCTCTGATTGGCGGCAGCAGTAGCGACGCCATCGGAGGAATTTCCTCCAGGGGCTGCATGGAGGGACCCAAGAGGTGGTGCAGACCAGATTGGGTGCCCCACAGATAGGGGGTTCTACACCTCCACTTTAGGTGTGTGCTGCTGACAATGAGGACATAGGAGGAGCTCCGGGGAATCAGACCAAAGCCCTCTCGTCCCCCATTCTGTTCATTCAGTGGGAAGCAGACAAATGGGAGCTTTAAGGACTGGCAGAGGGTAGGAGGGCTTCGCTCCTGCCTTGTATGATGTGGCAGAAACACTGAATTTCTGACAGGAGCTGTTCCTCCTTTGTGCATCTCTCTCTCTCTCCTTCACACCCGCCCTGATAACCTTTCTGCAGGCATTACTGAATCTGGCTGAGAGGCTAGGAGAAGCCAAGCCACGGGGACTCACCAAAGCAGACATAGAGCACCTTCCATCCTACCGCTTCAACCCAGAGAGCCATCAGTCAGAGCAAACCTTGTAAGTACTTGAAGAGAGGCTGGAGGAGTTCTCTCTTGGCTTCTTTACTACATGTAGTCAAGAAGGCACAGGTGAGAAGGGAAGGCAGGGTAGCTGAGCGGGGGTCAGGAAGCCTCCCGCATCTACAGCATTGTTTCAATGGATTGCTTTTTGTTTTTCAAAGTGCAAAATAAATACCTAAATAATAACCAAGCCCGGTGGTGGCGTGGAGGTGGGTTGATGCAAGGTTAGTTTGTGGGGGGAGGGGTTAAAACAAGTGCCTGCCCAAAGCATGGGAGGAAAGAAGAACATTTTCCCTGGTACGTGTGTCTGTTAAAAGAGCGAGGATGAGGAAAGTCAACCTTTCCCCCTCAGCAAAACAGCCCACTTAAATTGGGAAGAAGGTACATCTGGCTTTGCTCTTAGGCTTAGAAGGGCTCTGTGATGAGCAGGGTCAGCTCCTATGTTACCAATTGTACAGCTGGTAATGGTTTTCCTAGATAAATTCTACAGTGTGTGCTGGAAGCATAGGATGGATGCTCCTAGTACTACCAGTTGAAATACATTGTGCAGTTCTTCCATTTTTGCTCCTTATGGATATTTTGTGGTAAGAAAAAAGATGGAAGAAATGGTGGAGGAAATGGAAGAAACTGGGCTGCAAATGGAAGATGGCAATACCTCCCATAACATTCCAGGAATGTACAATAAAACCCTTGCCTGGAAGCACCCTTGGTATCAGGGGCTTAAGGAAGCATGTCAGTGAATCCTACACAATGAAGAGGCTAGACCATATAGTTCCTGTAGGCCTGCAGTCAGGAAGAGCCGTCGCGTACTGCTCCTGTCTTCTCTCCTGCTCCCCTACTGACTGGATTCTTCCCCGTCCCCAGGTGTGTTGTGTGCTTCAGTGACTTTGAAGTAAGGCAGCTGCTGCGAGTTCTGCCCTGTAACCATGAGTTCCATGCTAAGTGCATCGACAAATGGTTAAAGGTAACATCTGCTGCATGGGCCAAGGGATCTGTAGTCAAGGAGACATTGCAGTCAAAGTTTATTCTCTGCCTAGTGCTTTGGCTAAATCAGCAAGGGTCATATTAGAAAGTATGTAATGGTGGAATGAGAGACCTGCATGGAGAAGTGAGTCTCATGGAAACCGTTTGTTAGGAACTATAGCTTTAGAACAGATGTGGGGAATTTTTTTTCTGTCCAGAATTGCATTCCCTTGGAGATAATCTGTCTGTGTGTGTGTTGGGGGGGGGGTACCTTCCAGCAGTGGGTGGAACCAGAGCTGACAGTGGGCGGGGCCACCCCTTTTTCCTGTCTGGTGTGAGAAAGACATTGCTTCAGTGGGAAGCAGGGATGTGACAGAGTTTTGTGTAGTCTGGCAGTCCAAGGCTTACCTTCTCTGTCCGTGTGTCCTTGCTTTCCATTCAGGATAAAGCTTCTCCTATCTCTTTCCATTCTGAAATTGACTTTTATAGTTATTTTTCTCCTCCCTACTTTTAAACAATCTCACTCTTAAAAATGAAAGGGCAAAAAAGGCTTTTCAACAGAGCCATTTGTTTTCTTGCTCTTACCCATGGTTCCTGCAGAGAAAAAGGCAGCCCCCAAAGCTGTAGAAAAGAAAAGAGAAAATGGTTGCTCATGAGAAGCTGTGCAGAATCCCTGACAAAAGCAGGCTGGGCTGCAACTTCAGATCCAGGTTGGTGCGTGATCTCACTCGGGGAAAGGTGCAGCGAGAGGCAGCTCACCAGTGCTGCCTGCCCACCCACCCATCCCAATGGTGAGGCAGCTGGAAACAGCCTGGCCTGAAGATCCAGCGTATGGCTCTGTCTCCAGGACAGATCCAGAACTGGAATCGGGATCTGAGGAGAAGAAGTCCCAGACACAGCAGATCAGCTCTTTGGCAATGAGAAAGGTGAGAGTAATCACTGATGACATTCCCCACTCCACTGGGATGACTCCCAGCCGAGCAGCATGTGTGGCAGCTTTGGATGACTCTGGTATTAAGCGAACAAGTGGGGCCTGAGGATTCACTGCCCCCACCCATTAAGAATATTTCCTTAATTCAGTCAGTTCTTTCACAACTCTCAGAAACCATCTTGGATCACTTAAGAGACCAGTCCCTAGACAGAAGGCTGCAATGTCGAGGCCACCAGGCTAAATGCACTTGCAACCCACTTTCCTCTGATTTTTTATCCTTCTCTCCACCCCAAGATCCAAAACTGCTGCCAGGCCTCTTCGTCCTCTGCAGTCTAGCGAACACCTGACCTTTGTACACTGCAGTGGACTCCAGGGAGCGTTCGCTTGATCCACACTCTACAGCCTCAGGAAGTACGTTCGGATCACTTAGCGTTTAATCTGTTACTCTCCAGGTCAGCCGTGTCCCCCCAGGGCAGTGGTGGCTTAGGCGGGGAGCAGAGGCATGGAGGCACAGGAGATTCCTCGGCTGATAGGTTGTTGTTGGTTTTTTTTTTACTTTAGCTACTGAGACTGGGAAGGGAAAGCCTCTGCAAGGGACATTGACTATGTTTCCCAATCCTAAGCCAGCCTGTGGGGAAGATCCCCTTCTTCAATTCTTTTTAAAAACTGTTGAAAGAGAAATTCATGGAAGAGCTTAGTGTTCCCCTTCCAGATGCTCCAAGTGGCAACCCTGATCTCAAGAGCGCTATGTCAATGGATGGGAGTAAACTCCTGAAAGACGAAGGTGAATGAAATTCTGAGACTGTGTCACAGAAGGTCCATTGTGCATCAGGTGTGGCCCTGCACACCTTGGCAGTCTCCTATTCTGGGAAGGCTTCAGCTCTCAGGTTGAAAATATTTTAAAGAGATGAACCATATTTCCCTTTACAGGGAGCTTAGTGAACTCTAAGTCTTTCCCCTTTAATGCAGATGCTGTCCAAGATATTCTCCAGTTTAATTCATAAGCCATGGCAGCTACCACTGTGGCCTACAGATCTGTTTGGCTCAAACACTGGAATGGGAATGTGCTACCTGGAGACCGCCTTCCTGTGGTTCCTTTTTAAGGGTGCATATCTTTGGAGAAAAAGCCTTAAAAGGCACTCTGATAAAATCAAAAGATGAATATAACACCTTCCTTCTCCAGGAGGGAAAATAAAAGTCTCTTTGGCAGAACTTGCCCTTCCTTTTGTCCTTTCAGCAATAATAACCTTTCCTCTTTTTGATGCAAAAACTACAGAGATCTTAGCTGAACTGGTCATGCTTCCAATCCAGAAACTCTAGCTCTACCCACTCTTCTTCCAAACCCTCTGCTGCCTTCCAGCCAGCAAAGCCAGGTTGCTGACAGTCCTGCTGCAAGGAACAGCTTTGAAGGAAAGACTGCAACCATGTCTAACAGCTTACAAGCAGTCTGCTCCAGATTGCTGGGTCATAAACACCATCCTCAGTGATTTCTCAGCACTCTTCTAAGATCTGGGTCTCTTCAGTTCCTCCTTTCTCCAGTGTCATGCTCCATAACCAAGCAACTAATCCAGCACCTGCTTGACACAGACACAATAGAACCATTAGTGGAACAAGAAAAAGTTTACCAGCATTTACTCTCTCTCCTTTTTGTGCCAAACAAAAACTGTGTGAAGAGCTATTATTAAATGTCAAACACCTTGAATACAGACAATTGTGTATAGAAATGCTTCACACAGTTAGAAATAAGCACTCTTGCGGAGTGCTTACCTGTGTTCAGTCAACTTGACAGAGGCATATTGGCACATTCCCATCTTTGCACACTACCAAAAATTCCTAAGATTTCTGTATCAAACACGTTTCGATAAAGAGCAATGGTCTTTGGCCTAGCAATGGCCCCACGTGTCTTCACAGAAAACATGTTTTTTTATGCATCCTTTGAAGATCATCTTCAAGGGATCCATATTTATCCCTATCTAGAGAACCTGCTTCTCGGATCGACCTTCATAAGGGAGGGCTTTGAATGGCCAGTCACGGTCTTCCTCAACCATCATAGCTTCAGTATTAACCAAAAGAATTTCTTAGAATCAGCTTAGCCTCTCCTTTATCCAGGAACCCTTATCAACACTTCCATGGGCCACATTTTCTCTCTCCTGGTTTTAATGAAAAACAGCACATCTCTACCTCAGAAGTGCATAAGTTTTGGTGGACCTGGCATACCTCTGGGTCTAATGATTTCCTGCCGAGGCATCGTCCCCTTCATACGTGTCCTTTATAATGTGTGCTTGTGACTGATGGACCATTTCAGTCCGCTAACAGTGGACTTCATGCTAAGACATAACATTGACTCCTCCTCCCATGCACCAGTCTTCCTTCCCAAAAGCCATTTCCTTCTCAGATCCCACAAGACTTCAAGGTGGTTGCATAGAGTTTGAAACATCAGCTTATACCACTGTAGGTTACCTGCTGACTATTGCCAGCACCTTGCTGTCATCCAGTAAACTCTCCACCGTACGCATCTGTGAAATGTCCTGGAAGACCTTTACCAGATGGTGCAAACAGAAAAGACGTAACGTTCACTCCACAGGCATGAGAGAGTTCCTCTTCCTCCTGCTGCAGGTCTTGATAGGAGCTGAAATCCAGCTACTCTGCAGACAGACCTAAGTCAGAGCCTCACTCCCCTTCGGTTGGGACACCTGCTCCTCAGTTCCCACCCTCACCTCGGAGGAGCCCCAATATTGTCCCCAGAACAGTTTGGATTCTCATCTTGAACGTTCCAAATTGTTCTTTGGGCACTCATGAAAATGCCATCCAAGCCCATAAAGACAATTTCCCTCAGACTTCTGTCCCAAAAGGTATTGATTCTGGTTGCTGGGAGATCAGTACAAAGAATTTCAGGGCCATAGGCCTTTTTCTGGAAGAGAAGGGCTCCTGATGTGCCATTAAGACTTGCTCTCCCTTTGTCCCCAGGGTCAGTATATAGGCTTCAGGAGATCATCTTCCCCCACCCTTCTGTCTTTCTGCTGTTGCCTGTGGAGGCCTGGCGTACGCTGGGTGTAGGCTTATCAAGGCAGGTCAAGTTCTCTCTCAAATGTACATAGCCACTCTGACAATCCCATTTTATTTATTTCGATCTCATATCCGTGGGAAAGTAGGTCTCCAGGTGTATATTTGCCAAGTGACTCAAAACGTGCAATTTTTCCCAACTCTACAAGACTTCACACTTCTTGAGACCCTAAGCTCATTCCAGTTGATCAACAACCACTGCAGCAGCCTTGACTACCAGTGACACCTTAGCAGAAAGCTGCAACTTGGCAAACCCCAGATCATTTTAAGATAGAGACCTTTTTCTCTGCAGAAGCCTAGTTCAGCAGGAGGGTTTTCCAGCTGGTAATCAAGGCACAGTAGATGTGCAGATGATGCAAAAAAAGTGCTGCATCACAGGGATACCTTCCTCACACCAACCTGGAGGGGAAACATAGGTAGTTTGTGCACAGTTTCCTTCTAGATTGGGAGGGTAGAAGGCATCCAATCACGCCCTGATTGCATGATTGATTGTGTTGCCTTTAATTGCCTGGATCACCTGCATCTCCATCCCAAAAGTTGAGCATTCACCCGTGGAGCTGTTCCTTCTGTGAGCATAATTTTCTGCCTTTCCTGCATTTCTTCTGTGATCTTATTTTCTTCTGTTACAAATTATGAGGTCTTTTTACTGCTGTACTACTGAACTGTAGCCATGGATGAAATCAGCAGGGGGGCCTGCAACTGGCCAGTGGCACAAAACTCTTGCTTTTCCAGGATGAAAAGGGGAGTTAGGCCATTGTAGGGACGCCCCCCCCCCCCCAGAAGGAACCTTCTTAGTAAGTGGCCATGTGGGCGCTCGCTCTCCCCTCTCACTGCTGCTCTTCCCCCGCCTAGTGGCCTAGTGGGCTGCAGAGCTCTCTTGCCCGAGGCCTGCAGTGGGCGCCCGCCCACCGATGGCTTTTGAAATTAGGCCAAAGGCTGCAGATCGTCCAGATCTGTGCTGGCAGCTCCCTCTGGGCTGCTGGTTGCAACTGCAGCAGGTGGAGGCAGATCAGCAGCAGGTTGCTGGATACGTTCTTGCACAAGGTGGGCAGAAAGCAGATTGGGGCCTAGTGGTAGATTGCTGGGTGATTTGCAGCAGACCAGGGGGGGATTTATGACACCACGTGTGTAGCACCTGCCCTGAATTATAGTGCTGCAATGAAGAAACCGTGGAGCTGATAGGGAATATTTTGTGAAGTACTGTGAGCTACATTTACTTTTGGTGTTCAAAACAAATACTGGACTCGGCGCCTTTCAGTTCAACATGTCCATCTGCTGCTCGAGGTTAATAGTAGGGCTGGGGTGATCCCTTTTGGAAGCCGTCCCTCTAGCACCCACAGGCTTCCTCTCTTGCTTGGCCTGGTCCCACAAACACTCCCAGGCCCCCTGTTGCTTGCACAACGGCATCCTTCCCCATCGGAAGTGACCGCAGGACATGGAGAAAGGGTGCCGAGAATGGACACGCCAGCTGCCATTCCCAGCAGCCTGCCTTCTTCCCCACTTGCTGCTGCAGAAAACATAAAGCTGTTATGAAGAAGGAACTGAGCTCATTTGGCAAATTCTTTACACATTTGCCATTTAAAACTGATGCGTACTCACTGCCCGTTTTTGAACTCTGCGGTCTAAACTTTTGGATCAAATACGTATTTCCACAAGTCTTAATCTTCTTACCTCGGTCGAGCAGATTTCGCAGGGAGTTGCCCTTCCCTTAAATCCGCACATGGTTGCCTCTTCCCCTGCTGGTTCTGCCAGCCCTGGGTGCAGTGCAGGGGTCCGGATGCTTGAGCCGCGGGCCAGCCACAGCCTCCGTCGTGGGCGGCTGGCGAAGGGGGCCGCGCCCGGCGTTTCACGCTTGCCTTCTCGCCTTGGTCCTTGCAGGCAAACCGCACGTGCCCCATCTGCCGAGCAGATGCCTCAGAAGTGCACCGGGAAGCCGAGTGAGGCTCGCCGACACACTGCTGCACAAATCCACTCCAGGAAATGGACCTTGGGCCAGGGGCTTGGGCCAGCCTGTCCGCTTAGCCTCTGGGGCCGCTCCTGGGAAGTGGTGAGAATATAAGCAATGTATGGCTCCCCCTCCCCCTCACCCCATGGCATGGGCCGGGCCGGGCCGGGCGGCTGCGCCAGCTCACGGTGTCATGCTCTGCAGGGGGAGGCGTCCCGCGTGCTCCGCACTCCAAAGACTCTCATCCGTGGCGCCATTACTCTCCAGGTGTTTGCATTCCTTTTTCGTTGGGGTTTTCCTGAGCCGTTCGGTTTTGGTTCTGTGGACGTCTGACCCTGATTTTAGTCTGAACTCCTCTCCTTCTGGCGGTGCCAGATGAGGGCCCTTCAATGCAGAGCAGCTCGGAGGTGGGGGACAGGTGAGGAAGCGCCTGCTTCCGTCGCCCCGCCAGCCACTTCCCCAGAGCACAGTGCTGCATGGCAGGCAAAGCAGCGGCAGGGCGGGGGTCTGGTCGCGGTGCCGGTGCGAGCGGCCTGGGCGAGGCCACGCCCCACACCGCAGTGGCTGCCCCCACACAGGTCATGGGCTGGTGCCATCGCCTGGGTTTTCCCTGTTCTGTCTGTCTGTCTGTCTGTCTCTCACACGCATCCCCCGACGTCGCATCCCCCCATCATGCCCCCCCCATGGAGACACTGAGTAGTGTCTCGGTTGCTGCTCTCACAAGTTGCTGGGGGATGGAGGGGGGGCAGGTCTGGACCAGGCTCCAGCAGCCTCTCCTCCACTCTGCTGGTCATTGCTGGGAGGGCTCCGTGGGGGAAGAGTCACTTGCCCCCAGAGAAGGGGTGGTGCAAGTCAGGTCCCGTGACAAAGCAGCCAGCTGCTGGCTGCATGCAGGAGGGGGCCGAGCCTGTTTTTAGTAAGGGGCTGAGAATCATGTTCACGCTGATGCCTCTTCCTTCCTCTTGCCTTCCCTTTGCGCACACCCAATCACCAATCCTGTCGCTTCAGTTGGGTGCCTCGTGCGTCGCCATGAACCCCACTCCCCCAAAATCATGTTTGTGCCACGGGCTTTAACCTGCTCCCGGGAGGGCGCCTGTGCCGATTTGCGCTCTCTTGTTCCTGCCCAGGACAGGCGGAAGCTCGGCAGACAGAAGCAGAAGGCCTTCAGCCCTTCCACTGTAATTCCCACCCGCTCCTCCATGCCAAGCCCAGGCTAAGCCCCTGAAAGCTGTCGGCCGGCTGTGTGGCTGCCCAAGCAGGAGCCTGGGCAGGGAGCAGGTGGGGAGCTATTTATTAACTTTATTGCCTACCCTTGCACTAGCTATCACGGGAAAAGCCCCTCTGGTGGTCCTTCCTCCAGCCAGGTGCTGTATGCAGTGGTGCACCGCCTCTTTCCCTTCGGATGCAATCAGGCAGGCGGTGTTGCTGCCTTCTTGCCCGCCCGCCCATCCATCTGCCCGCCCACCTTTCTCAGCCTGCCCCCAGCCCAGTTTGGCCTACTACTGCTACCGCCCCCCCCAGTGGGATTTTCTGCATGGCCTGATGCTTGTGCTCTAGGTCAGGTACCTTGGGTGTGTTTTGCCATGACAAGCATACACTTCAGTTGTGTGCCTTCCTGTGTCTGCACACATACACTATCCTACCTAAAATACCTGCTGGTTTAAAGCAAGAAAGCAACCAACCTGCCACCCTGTTACAGAAACCTGTTGTCGTTAAAATAAAAGTTGTTTTGCATGATTATACCGTGGATCAAGAGAGAAGCCCTCGCCGTGTAGTTGGTTTGTGTTCTGAAGCCTGGCAGAAGACTCGGAGAGGACGACAAAACCTAATGTAAATGTTCACAAATTATGCATGCATGTTATGACCAGCTTGGAACTTGGTATTGGCTAACTCTCTAGCCAGCTGTGGGGTGATGGGGGGTGGGGAAGAGGGAGTTGTTTGTGCTCAGCTGATTACTGCCATGCACTGTACTGCACATGTCCGCAACGCCTCACAAGGACCGTTAACGCTTTTCGGGGCATTTCTCTTTCCCCTCCCTCCCCTCCAAATTAGAGATTGAGTTGAAACCTGGCTGGGCCTAGAGGAGGCTGTGCAGCCCTGCTGGACTTAGCCTGGGGTCAGGTTGCCTGGGTTCCTGAGCAGTGAGCGGCTGTTGCGGAGGAGGGATCGGGCAGGGGCAGCTTCTCCATCATGGTGCTGCAGAGGTCGGGGAAGCTGCCCCGTCATTCTGCTGTCTCCTGCACCCCTTCCCTCTCTGCACACTGCTGCTCGCCTGAGAGGGCCTCGTACATCGGCCAGTGACCCTGCAGGGCAAGTCTGGGAGCGTGGCTCTCGCGCAGAAATGGGTCTCCACCATCCGTAAGGTGGACCCCTGCTTTTCTTCGGCCTGCCCTGTATCTTCTGCTGCCCAGCCAAGCGAGAGACTCCTGCACCTGCCTGCCTGGGTCTGGCTTTCACTCTCCCCTTCCGAGGGGGGTCAGCAGATGAGAGCGATGGCTGCGGAAGAGTCCAAGGCTGAGCTGTGATTTCCTTGCCTACCAGCAGCAGCAGCAGCAGGACCCAGGCCTGTCCAGACAGATGGGCTCTTTTCGTTCTGCCCCCGCACCTAATGGCTCTAGAACGAGTGAGTTGAGCGAGTTGGTGGCTTGAGCCCCGTGGTCCACTTGCTGGCTCTCAGGCAGCTGTGGCTGAGATGAAGGGCCAGGTGAACACACAAGGAGTAGAGCAGGTAGGTGGGTGTGCCCCACTCATCCTGATTGGGCTGGAACAACCCGGAGGAGAGGGCTTGTAAGGAAAAGCTGGCTTCCGCTGTGGCTCATTTCTTGGGGCTGTTCTGAGCTGCCATGGCGGCACAGCTGCTCTCGACTCTGAGCATGTGCGGTGTAGCTGTCAGTGTTTTTCTGAGCACACTGGCTCTCTGCAATACTTACCTCTGAAGCAGGGGGAAGTCTCGGGGGGGGGGCGGTGTCGGGGGCTTTCAGGTCATTTTCCACTGGTACTCCCGGCCACGTGTGGCAGAGGTGAGAAGCGATTCCCCTCGGCCCCAGACCATGGCTGGGACTCCTGACCCATTCTGTGGTTTGGATGTCCTCGGAGTGCCCATATAGGTAGGCTTTGAGTACCTTTTTTGGCCTCTTCAGTCACAGCCCAGGATCGAGATGGACTTTAGCCCCCCGTGTCTGCAGATAGCTCAGTGACACAATTTGGCAGGCAAATAGGACCGAGCAAGGTCGGTCATACTGCAGTGGACTGGCTGTCTCTGTTTGACAGAAGCAGCCGGTCGGCCGGCAGATGAGGAAATGAGAAACTAACCTCTTGAACTCTGGGCAGGCCCCAGCTTGCTTTCTTTTTCTTTCTTTAATAACAATACATTAATCAGTGACCTGAATTTGTGATGGCGTTAGTATTTTAAGGGGTTTCTCCCCACACACCTTATTTGTGTTCAGGCTGATGCAAGTTACGGTGCAGTCATTTGGAGGAGGTCGACCATTTGCCTCTTCCTCTCCACCCCGGTCTCAGAGGGGCAGGAGGGCTGCAGGGGGACACCTAAGCCAGGTCTTGGCCCATGCGCTCGTGCATGTGCGCGCACACAGAGGAATGGGCCGTTGCCATAGCAAAACTGCACAGACACCAGCAGCTCCTCCTTTCCAGTCCTTCCGTGCCCAGTCGACTCTCCTCTCCCCTCACATGTCAAGCCAGTGCCTTGTGTCAGACCCACCTCCTCCCCCCCCGGCCCTTCCCCTTGTTTCACCGCTTTTAAAGGAAAAACACAACAGAAGCAAAACCTTATTCCACAAATAACCAAAGGTCTTTACTGTATATATATATTTAAAAGAATACCACAGGAGGTGTTTCTATATTTATAGCCAATCAGAACAGTGCTGATGCCCATCCGTTTTCAGTGCTCTCTTCTCCTTCCCCGCCATCTTCTCAGAAAGGTTATTTGGGGGAGGGGAGGGTAGAAAAGCCTTACGGTTCTTCTGATGGTGACTCGAAAGCTCACAGCTCGTGTGCTGCAGAATTTATTCCAATGAGCAGCTAAAATTATTATCATTAAACAAAACAAAAAAACCACAAAAAAATTACTAAAACATTTATTTAGGATGTTTGTGATTGCTGATTGCGCTGTAGATGCCACTGTTTACCAATGATTTCCTGTGGTGGGATAGTGGACAGTTTACTGTTCTTTTATACCAGTCCCGTGCCCTCCAGAGGGACCGCTCAGCTTCACCCTACAAGGAGAGGAGCCTCCCTGTAGGGCACCAGGGCATTTGTTCTGTGTTAGAAAGTTTATATATATATATATTATATATATATTATAAATATATATATATAATTTTTTTTGCTCTGTTACTTGCACATTTACAGTTACCTCATTTTTCCCATGTATGTATTTGAAAAAAGGCTAATATATAGAGAAGAAAAAAAAAGGTTCTTAAATCTCTAAAAAAGTGTTTGTTTTTTCCATTCCATTGGAATCATATTGGTTTGTAGCACTTAACATAACTAGTATGTTGTATTATATATATGTGTATTATACTGATTGAAATTTTTAACAGATTTGTACTTTTTTTAAAATGAAAGTTGCTAGTTCTGCTTGACCAAGTAGTGCAATCATTATTTTTTTTAATGTTGTGGCTGATTTTGAGAGGGATATTCACTAATAAATGTATGATGTATACCAATAAGGTAGGCCAGTCTCTTCTCTTGGTGGAGGCAGTGCTCTCAGGAAGGTAATATATATATATACATACACATATATATATATATATTGGATGTATTCTGTCCCTCCTCCAAGGTGCTAAAAATGGCTTTCTGGTTCTTTGTGACTCTGACTTAGCCAGGTATAGGTAGAGAACAAACATCATAAAGCTGAACAAGGATTTCACTTGAAACTTCCCACATCCAAATGTGCCATGACAGCACAGTGGCTCACAAGATTATTAGTACTCGCAGTCATAAGGACTATAAAGAAAAAGCTCTAAAAGTTAACTCGCTCCATGCTGTCATTTGGCGTCACATAAAAACACCAGAAAAGAAGCTAGTGTCTTCCATCACAGTGAAATTAGAATGTCTAAAAATTAAACCAGTGTCCTATACATTGAGGCAGTGGATAGCTTTTGGCAGTCCCATGAGCCACTCCATGTTGACCTGTGAGTGGCGAGCATGACAATGCCACTCGTGGCTTCCAAGAACAGCCCTGCCTGTTGGTTTTCCCTCTTGCCGTTTGTTGGTTCCTGCAACTCCTATGGTAGAAGAAGAAAGTACAAGCTGAGATGTGGAATTCATTAAGAGTCTATTTTGAGTCTTTTTCAACTATAACCTGCTAGCTGAAGCAACGCTCTCCAGCAGCGAACTGAATATTTGTGTTTTGAGCTGCAGCTAGAGCACAGATTTGTTTGTGAGAGGTCACTGGGCCACTGAATATCAGAACAGGATTTTGTAAAGCAAAATGCTTGGCTTTAGCCTAAGGGAATACCTGGCCCAGCATTTTTTTTACATGTTTGGACAAATTCAGAGAGGATAGATCTACAGAGGCTCTTCGGCACCTCCAGATGTGGAGAAATGGTTGCCTTTATGTCTTGTGATGGATGCTTCTGCAGGTTTCAGGCTTAGCCACTGTGGGGAACAGGATGCTGAATAAGGAGTCCCTTCATTTGGGTCTTGCAAGCCTCTTCTTTTTCGGAAACATGTATTTTAAAATAAAGTTTTAAAAGGCAACAACGAAAATGCAGATAATCTAACATGACTGCTAAAGAAACTCACAAATGCTAATTCTTCAGCTACCACCACCAATGCTTGTGGAGACAGTAAAACAGCCTATGTGGAAGCTCTCTGGTGAAAGAAGGAAAATACAAATTATATAGCATATATAAGGGCTATATGTATTAAAATGTAGACAACTTGAAATGTTGATGTTTGAACGCCTTTCTCATAGGTAATAGAACCATGGTGCCATACTATCTTCCTTCAGATTAGGAATTGTTGCATATTGCATTCGCTCTTACAATCTGCCATTATTTGTACAATGAGAAGTGGTGCAGCCCACTCTGCAATCTGTAATCATTTCTTGGGCTTCCAGGCATACTGTGTGGATGACTGGTTGGTGGGTCTCAGAGCACTGGGGGCCATGCTTCCCCTGGACTGGAAGTTATTTTTCTGTAAAGGTGACTGGGACCTGTGAACCCTGCTATATTTCAGCAATAGATGAACTTGACTTCTGGAGATGGGATTCTCCCCTGCCCCGTTAGCAAACTGCTGTATTGTACTACAATAAACATACATCTTGGTTACAACAACAGAAACAAATTACTTGCATCTGTTTTGAATGTTGAATAGTGCTTATGCTTAAAGCACCATTTTCCTTGTCAAACACATGGAAATGGTTAGTGGAGGCGAATGATCATCCTCTCTGTACTTCAGTGAAAAGCCTAGAGATTAAAACATTATGGCTGCATGTTTCCATCCAGTACAAGAAAGCATCACAATCTCTATCCTTGGATAGATCCTTGCCTCTCTGGGTCATTTCTGATTCACAGCATCAAACGCATGGAAATGGTGGTAGTAAAGCCATGTCTGAACTGGGCTGTCTCAGACTGCAGCTGGAGCCATCACTGAAGGCCCATGCACAAAAGTGCAGTTTTTAAAATAAAAAATACCACTTCCTTACCCAACTTTTCCCCTCTTGCAAAGAGCCCAAAACTGATTGTGGTCCTCCTCCTCGCCAGTGTACACCACAAGCCTGTGAGGTAGATTAAGCTGAGTGGCTAGTCCAAAGACACCCTTACTTAATGTAAACTTAAAGTAAACTTGATGGCTGATCTCCTGACTCCCAGTCCAGGGCTCTAACCACCGACCACTCCACACTAGCTCTGAATCTCTGAAACCAACTGCTGTTTCTTTGCTGAAGAGGAGTTATAGTGCTGGTGAATTGTCTTTTGTGCATGTTTACAAAGTGAGAGGGAAGATGGGGAAAAAGTTGAGTGACATAAAGCTATTTTCCTGTTTCTTACGGGACTTACAGATGGCAGAAACATTAAGATGGGCATGAGGGAGTTCTTATACCCTGCTATTTTTGTGTTTAATAGGACTTAGGTGGAGGAGACTGAAAGTCTTTGTCGTACTAGATGACAGAAAATATTTCCTTATCCATTTCTTCTCACCATGCATAATTTTATCAAGATTTATTATGCCTCCTTTGCTTAAAGCATACCCAGAACTACAATAGCAACTCAGCTGCCGCAGGTTAGCAAACGTAGCAGCAAGTCCAAGCAGTCCCCAGCATGTTTAATGAGGAGCATCAGTGAAGCTCTTAGAGAAGGAAGCTATGCGGCTTCTTCAGCAATGGAAGTCTTGCCCAAATGAGAACAAAAGGGTCCTTTATGTAAAACCTCTTGATGTATTTATAGAATGTACACATCACAACAAATAGTCCATTTACTTCTGTGAATGAGAGAGAGGCATGTAGACTCTGCCTACATGAAAGCAATACTGAGGAAAATGGGAACTAGAATAGACAGTCAAACTCTCAACTGTCACTTGCTTCAAGCAAATTACCTACCTGAAGTCAGGTGAAAATGGTTCTGTTTCCATTTTTCTGCAGAAGGGCAGCTTGGATGTAGAGTTTAGTTCTTCTCATGAGTCTGCTGGATTACTTTTTGTTGCTGTGGAGGTCATAGGTGCAACCCCAGCATCTGAAAGTCCAGGAATGGGGAACATGTAGGTTTCCAGATACCGCTGCACTCAACTTACCAGACCCCCCTGATTGTCTAAGATTATGTGAGTTGCTGGGTTGTATCCAGTTTAAGGTAAAGGTAAAGGTTTCCCCTTGACGTTACGTCCAGTCATGCCTGACTCTTGGGGGCGGTGCTAATCTCCATTTCCTAGCCGAGGGAGCCAGCGTTTGTCCACAGACAGTCTCCGTGGTCATGTGGCCGGCATGACTAAACACCAAGATGCACAGAATGCTGTTACCTTCCCACCAAAGTGGTACCTTTTTATCTATTTGCATTTGTATGCTTTCGAATTGCAAGGTTGGCAGGAGCTGGGACAGAGCAACGGGAGCTCACCCCGTTGGGCAGATTCGAACTGGCAACCTTTCGATCAACCAGCCCAGCAGCACAACAGTTTAAACCACTGCGCCACCTGCAGTTCCTTGTGTATCCAGTTTACATCTTACTTAAATCCCATTCATTTCAGTGGGTCTATTCTAAATAGAACTAACATTTGGCTACAGCCTGTAGTCTTCATTTGGAGGGCCACAAGTTCCTCATCCCTGGCGTAGGCCCTATCATCCTGAGGGAGGGACAACATGACTTTTGTCCTGAGGATGCGAGTGCTTTTTCTTTTTTGCCACTGTCTTTGTGAGCTTTTTTAAAGGCTTTCTTTTCTATCTTTGGAGATGCTTGCTCAGCAGAGAAACATGCAGAGAAACTTTGCTTTTTGCTAGAGTCCTATGATCTACCAGGCAAACTCAAATAAAAAATGATGGCTATGGGACCGCAGGTAAGCTTAAATTTATGAATGAGGTACCTCTGGACACATGCAACCTCGGATTCTGTTTTCCACTTCAGAAGTGAGTTCAGAGTTCTTTCACTCAGAAATCCACTTTTTCCTCCAAGCATCCTTCATTCTAGTGGTTTAATTTGGTGTGGAAGTCTTTTCAATTCCATAGGGAAGAACCCTTGCCGAACTACTCCAAGGTATCTACCAATAGACTCCAATCTACTTTCCACCCCTTCTGCTCTACACAGCAGCCTGTTCATATATGGAAATTAAATGTCCCTACAAATGTCCTGTTCGTTGGTTTTCCGTAAATGAGAGAATGCTGGATTAGATAAACTGTTGCTCAGATTCAGCAGGGCTCGCATGTGTTTAAGTACTTAAGGGGAAAAATGCATGCCATGAATAATGTATTTAGTTTAACAAAACCCCAAGAATAAGAGATGGCTGGACATTAGGTTTTAATATGTTAGAAGAGGATTATATGTTTAAGGGAAGATGGGAAAGTTGTTCTAAGGGTGCCCTTTATGTTCAAAACGTTTAACTTTTTTCTTGAGACTCTATAGTACTACTAATATGGAATGCATTATCCAAGTATAAAGTGGTTGAGGTCCCAAGCCGCGTTCTCAAGATCCTGTTAGCAGAGCAGAATCTCTTGGACCTACACTAACATGAATGAATGGAGCAGAAAGTATTCTTCCCAAAGGCTTCATTTGACTAGTATGTGGACCAGCTTTTTGGTCAAAACCCAAAACCATCACAGAGTCAAGAACAGAAATACTCTGAGCTTTTCTTTTAAAAGGTCTATATGACAAAACTTGAAGCTGTCATACTTCGGACAAACCATGAGAAGGCAAGAGAATCCTGCTAGGGAAAGTGTAAGGCAAAAAGAAGGGAAACCAAATAAGAGATGGACTGTCTCCATAAAGGAAGCTACATCCTTGAATTTAGACCGGTTAAGCAGGGATGTCATGGATAGGACATTTCCGATAGCTTTCATTCATAGGATTGCCATGTAAGTCAAAGACAACTTGATGGCACATAACAGACTTGCAGCCCACTTCCCTCAAGCACGGAGCAAATACACTACTCCATTGAGATCCGACACTGCTTTAGTGTACTGTTACCTAACTGGATCCTAAATCAGACAAGTCTTTAGAGGACGGTAGAATTAACACTTGAGGTCACCATGTGCTAACCCCATATAAGCTATTTATATTTGAATCTCCTGGATATTGAAATCATGTATCTATGCTGTTAAGGCAGCTCCCAATTTGGTGTCTTCCAGATCTCAGCAAGCATGCCCATTGGCTGGAGAAAACAGAAGCTGTAGTCCTACACATTTGCAGGGCATGGCTTCAGGGAAAGCTGCCATCCAATCTTTTAGAGCCAGCTGCTCTCTGCTTCTGAGAAGTGGCTGGGTTCTTGCATTCTTATGCTGCTCCTGAGAGCAAAGTGTGGGTCTACATCTAGTTTAGGTGAGAATATAAGTTAACACCTTTGTACTTGGTACTGTCATTGTGAGACGGGGTGTGGAGGGAACATGACACTAGAGAAATTCAGTGAGGCTCTTCTGGCAGGCGAGGGCAGCAGCGGTGTTAGAATTTTCCCACTGAAAACTGATCCTGTTTCAATGCACTAAGCAGATTATGAATATATTCACACCCTCTCAAAATACAACAAATGTTGATAGGTAAGTGAATCCAAGGAACCTGCTGCTACTCAAGATAGGGGCTAAGTGCAAATGCTACATTGTGAAGGAGTTAAAGTATCCGGAAAAAATCACCTGCCAACACAAGTCTGCACCAGAGTGCAGTCAGATGACTTCTTCCTGTGAAGTGTTGATACTTCATTCGTGTGTGATTCCTTTGAAAACTAAACAACTGGAAAACTTCCAAAGAAACATTAATTGCATTGACCCATTTTGTTCTGGCAGGAAGGAGTCTGCTCTCATCTTTTTCAATGTTTAATTTTTAAAGCCTGCTCTGTACTAATTCAAGCCAGGATGAGCACTGCAGCAGGATACCCAGGCGCAATAGGCAGAATGCTACTATTTGCATTCTTCCCTCCGCATGTATAGAAACTGACCCTGGTTGGCCCAGTACAGCAAGGATTCATCACGACTAAGTCCCATTGGAAATAATGGAACAAGTCCAATTCAAGTTTTTACAGTAGAATTTAGTAAAGTCCCCTTTGTACATCCCCCAACATCAACCTCTACAAAAAGCATGTAGTACTGGGAGTTTTAAAACTTTTATATTGTAAACCACATCCTTTAATGCCAATGCTCACTTTCGGAGATGACTTGTTTTTCCAAATCATTTTTGCTCATGCTTTGATAAGTAGTCAGCATTAACAGAAACAACACAGCATGTTTAAGATGGAACAAGCTACTGCGAGATCGGGCATACAGAAATCTTCCTTTTGTAGAAAGGCAATGGCCAAAAATACTTGGTTCCAGTTTAAGACACAGGCAGAATAACTGCTTTGCAGACTGGCTGAAAACAAGCATGTTAAGAGCAGCAGGCTCATGACCCCATTCACCACCGTCTCCTTTTTGTCACAACGGGGTTTTGCTATTTTGGGGAGGACAACTACAATTTGCATATAAGGGAATGGGTGGGGTTTTACTTGAAAAAGCTAAGACCATGTGAAAGGAATGGATTTTCCCTTACTGTATACCCATACTTTTTGCATACCCTTCCTTCAGCCTCACTCACTTGGGACACTGGAAGCAGGCTGAAGAGAAGTGCCTGCCGTGACAGAGAATGGCACAGGAGAGGAGAGGAGCTCTCTGCACCTGCACAACCCTAGTGCTCTAAAAAATTTATTTCAGACCCAGGTCTGGGAGACAGTGTGAAAGCATATGGCAGGCACATGATAAAATTAGTCTGGCTGCTTCCACCCTACCTGGTTCGGCACCAAGTTCCGCAAATTTAGATTATCCCTCCGATAATGCAACTGCAGCAGCTATGCTTATATACATGATTCCCATGAAATAGTTCTCAGGTTTTGCTTTCTGTGGAAGATAACAGCAACACACGGACACCCACACACACCTTCTGCCTTTGTGACAACAGTTACAAGATAAGGAAAGGGCAAAGAGCTTAGGCTGTACATGAGGGCTCTGCTTTGTTCAAACACTCCACCTGCCCACCTCTCATTCTTGGAACAGGTGCCTAGATGGCTTGATCAACAAGAGACTGGGGCACCCCTTGCCCCAGCTGGGAAACTGATTACGTCACTCTTTGGCAGCAGCTTAGGCACTGCTCTACACTGTGGCCACCATCGGATCATTGCACCTGCATAAGTATGCACTAGTCTGTGCACACATACTCACACGATGATTGAAGTCAAGGACGGTTCTACACAGGTGCCTGTGCAGACAGCAAGCCCATTCCATCCCGCAGGAAGTCAGCATTCCTTTCCTCATAAAGTGTCCCTTGTACAAAACTTGCTCAGATTCTTTTCTGGATTCATAACCAAAAGGACGAACAGAAAAATCAGCATTCTTGTGCTTCTGACCACATCAAACAAAATAGAGAATGGAAGCTATGTCTGACAAATAAAAGTAATACTGTATTTCATGAGTCCAGCTCAAGATGCCAAATGCTGCTGATCTGCAGGAGGCATTATCTTTGACACACAGAGTCGCAAATGTGGCAGACCTGCAAGAACCCAATGAGTTCCATTTGCAAATGTTTGTGCTCTTTCACAAGCTTAGGTTTTTACAACTAAAAACTGTGTCCTTGTTAGCTGGAAAGACAAGAGGGCACCTTTGCTGACCTTAAGAACATCTCACTGCATGATGGGGCAGGCTTAATCTCCCTACACTTGAGACAAATAATGGGCTGGATCCAGACTTGCATTCAGTAGTGTATTACTAGCCTAGGAGGAAGGGGGCCGATCTCCAACCTCTCCTGTAGTCCCCACTGCCACCTCCTAGGGTGCGCTGCAGGGCAAACTGGAGAAAACCACCATCCAACCCCCTTCATCTATTGCAGGGGTAGGCACTACTAGGGACCTTTAGATATTCTGGCCTCCAACTACCATCATCCCTCCTCACTGCATATGCTGGCTAGGGCTTATGGGAGTTGTAGGTCAAAACATACGCAAGGCCGTAAGTTCCTCAAGTGGGCAGCTTCTGCTGGATTCCAGTTCCCTTTATGAAGGTGAGCCTGGATCAAATCCAAAAGCTGCAGCCATGAGCAAGTTGAATGCTCTGGCAGAACTGCATTAGCCCCTTGGAACATTAGCGACCATGTTTTGCTCCTCTTTTGCCCCGTAGCCTTTTCTAGGCAGGGAGGCACTACACCCACTAATACTGAGACAATTACCATGGACGTCTCACCTGGCTTATCAAACATTTCTATAGCCCTTGCTTAGAAGTTAGTCGACCTGTTCTACCTTTCCTTCAGTCACCACAGAAGATCCCTCATGAGGTGAGACTGGACAAGTCTCACACTGGCAAGATCAAAGGTTCCTCCAGAGTGAGTTCAGGCAAGCTGAGGGGCTGCCCCGATTTTTTAAAAATTTACTTAGGAATTCAGACTGAGGCTGTAACAAAGCCTAAGGGAATTTAGCCAGGTGCAGTCTGTGTAGGCAGTAAGACACTGACAGTCAAAGGTGTAGCACAGGCACACTAGAGGCAGAGTTTATTACACTACGCAGGCTAAGAACCCTGGAGAAGAAGAGCCCCTGTTGTTAAGAATGCCAACCAGCTCCTGATTTTAAAAGCAAAACAAAACAGCATTACCCCCATTCTCCTTTGGTCATTACAAAGCAAAAGAAATATTTAATAGATTTTTACAGAGTGAGGAGCTGGAAGAAGCAACCCTCTGCCCGTCTCTCTGCAACTGGGACAGAAGATCTCAGCCTGGCCCACAGCTACGGTCCTCGAGTTGTCACAAGCAGCGAAACATCAGATCTCCTAATGTCAGAATGTTGGAGTGTATCATTTCCAATGAAAGCAATATTTACCAAGAGCTGCCGTTTCTGACCCTCACCTTGGGAGGGCAATTGTGGCCCCTCCCGCCTGCCCTCTGAACGTAAAAAAGGGGGCTGAGTGTGCACAAGCGTGTGCAGCTTCTCCTGACAGGGCAGACACATCACGTGGCTGGCCCAGGCCACATAGTCTCTGATCCCTCATTTGTACGCAGCAGTCTTTAAAAAAAATATTGTATTATAATAGGAATTTCTCTTTCCATCTCTCTAGTTTGGAAAAGTGTCAATCGTCCGTGAGGTCCTGCACAAAAAGAACTTCCGTGTGGCTGAGTCCAGCTTCTTGCAGCGTAGGTGGATTAGGCCACTCCTCTGTAGGAAGGCAGGGCAGGACACGGCGGGGGAAGTTGGCCTCAATCTGAAACTTCTCTGGGCTCTCCTTCAATGAGAATAGGAAGTCATGGATCACCTGTGGAAGTAGCAGACAATTATTTGCCAAAGGATTTTTCTTGCTAAGAGGAACACCTAGCAGGAAGCAGGAGAGTGTGCAGATGGTCACATTACAGCAACCTCTTTTGGGTTTAGTGAAAAAGCATCCACCATTTTGTAACACTCAAGAAACCAGAAGGGTCAGTACGGAGCTCTTGGCCAGAAATCACAACATCTCTTATGGACACCTCCACCAGAAGTCACAACATATGCATTTTTTAGACATTATTTGCATGAGCAGTAAGACATCCCATATTTGCGTGAAAAGATGCTGGCTTGAGTCCAGAGTTCCCATGGAAGACACAAACTGGCAGAAGAGGGAGCCGTGGCTCTGAAAGGTACTCTAGATCCAGCTCATTGTTTGCTGAAGGCCTGCATGTTGCAACAGAAAAAGTGCTGGGTTTCCATGTGGGCGATCTAGGTCTGAATCCTCAAGAAATTAGGAAAGCAAATGAGTGGTTTTAGGTGTCTTTCTCAGCTTAATCTAGTTGTGGAGGGTGATTGCTAGGACAATAATTATACAGTAGAAAGCATTATAGAAATATTCTGCTTTTCTTCAGGCTTCCTCTCAGCTCCACCCTACTACAGACTGAATTTCCTTTATCTTTCTTAATAGCCTGCTAGTTAGCCAGTTTACGAATTCAAATACTTCTTCTCCTGTCAATCCATAATGTGTTATGACACAAATAGGGATATGTCAAGACTCTCTGGAACCTGGTGTGCACCCGCCCGTTGGACTTCTTCCAGCGCTTCCGTGTCTCTAAGAAAGAGATGAGAACATGGAAGAAGTCCACAAACATTCACAGACCCCCGTTGGACAACTGGGAATCTTCCCCAACTGCCATTCCTGGCAGTCAGCCTCCCTTTCCACTTGCTGCCGCCACAGGTGGTGGCATCACACATGGGGAAAAGGGTGCAGCAAGTGGGTGCATTGGTCGCCATTTCTCCTAGCCAATCTTGGTGTTGCTTGCACAGCGATTCCTGGCGAGCACCTTGTGAACTCTGGACCTTGTGAGGAACTCCAGACCACTGCAATGGAGACCAGAGTCCAGGAAGCCAAAACCCAGGGAATCCACTGGCTTTTCTGCCCAAAGTGGATTCCTCACAGATTCCTAGGAGACTCTGTTCCATCCTTACCGTTAAAGACTGCGCAAAATGGAATCGTCTCTCCACCCTGGAGTCATTGGGCATTTTGAAGATGATCTTGACACTTTCTGGGTCATCAGGATGTGGTTCTGGAGGAAGGCATTCAGATTTCCGTTCCTTCTCCTCCTGCAAAGTCTGCAGAAATAAAATGTGCATAAGATCAGCAAACAGCAGTTCCAATAATTTAACAGAACCAATATTTCCTAGACAAAGGCCAAGAACAAAATGAGGAAATGCAGAATTCTACCAAGATATAGGACTATCAAGAGCAACAACGACTACACATAACCTAAGCAGAGTTATGCTATTTATATCTTACTGAACGCAGTGGCATTCAAACCATGTATGTAATACTCCTCCAATATATTCACTGTAACTTTGGGTTGTTTATACTCTCAGTTAGAAGCAGTAGACTGTACCTTGCACTTTATTTGTTTTATCAAGTCTTTCAGCAGAAAGTGCAAAAATTACATTTGTATCTGCGGCATCTTCGCCTTGAAACAAAGGCAGTGAATTTTAAAGAATTGGACCTGGGACTAAGAAGACCCCAGTCTACCGACATAATTACTGAAAGGATCAACATCGATCAAATTGCAGTTCAATGGCTCTGCACTGGTAACAATAACACTGTTTCAATATTCCTACTGAAAGATACATATTCTAAAAGATAATCCACTTTACAAATGAAAATATCGTTTTGTTAACAAAGTCCCATTAGCACCTATGTCCTAAGTTACCTGTAACGGAGCCAAGGAAATTAAACAAAGTTCTAACATAAAGCACTTCTCCAAAGAATATGCTAAAGGACATACAAATGCCTCATTTTAGTTCACATAATTGCCATGGCTTACACAAGCCACAGCACATGTCTTCCCCACTTCGGTGTGGCTTGTCTGAACCCTGGGCATGGCTTATTGGATGGGGAGAACAACCTTCAAATGACACAACAACAGGCCATTTGAGGTTGTTTCCACCCTCCAACAATCCATGCAGCCTTATTTCAGATGGCACAACAGGCTGTGTCCAGGTGGATAACTGGGCAAATTGCCCTTGCCACAGCGATTGTGCTAATAGGGCCAGTATGTATGAACCCTTCTATTAATCAAGCACCATGCAACGTTGCTAATAGCATTTAGAAAAGTGACTTGCCTAAAATCTCATGCTCCAAAGCACTATCCAAGCACTTACCAGCAGAATGGGGACTAATACTAGGGTTATTAAAACAAAATTCTAAGGAAGATGTGCATAACTGAACAAGTCATTTAAGGAAACTGAAACTAGCAACTGGGACTTTTTTAAAAACTTGGGGAATCCTGCCTTGACTCTTAAAACTTCCTTCTAAATCCCTGTAATTCAAGATACATTGCCACAAGGCAGGTCTGCTGCAGACAAAACATTCTGATTTTTATGCATTAATACACAGACCTGACATTTCTGAATACCATGAAGATCTACTGAAGTGGTGAGGTGGGAAACCTCCCCATGGAGTCTTTGAAAGTGGCCCTAAGTCTCTCCTTTTCAATACCAAGGCAGCAATTAGGCTCACATGAATGAACCTTCCACTTATCCAAGAACCCAAATGCTATGGAGGGAAGGGGATTTCTAGGGGCTGCCAGGTAGGGAAGGAAAGGCTATGTAACTCACATGCAGCAATCAGAGAAAGATCTAACTTTTGCATTGAGGCAGGGAAAGATTATGGGGGGGCAGATGGAGTGTGAACATGTGGAGGATAAAACTGTGTGAACAGGGCATGCCATTTCTTTTAGACTTCGATCCTGCAAACCATAAGAACAAGTCCTGCCTGTTTTTCCTCGAGAAAATGTGGTATCCAACTTAAGAGGGTCCCTGCTCTCCCCTGCATTTAGGTACTCTAAACAAGGTTTACTGATTTCTCTGCAAAACCCCTTAGACTGTGTGTTTGCTCATTTTACACTATATGTCAAGTACAATCTAGTCTAATCAACTAATTAGAAATGGCCTTGTAGAAAATAACTTCACCCCTACCACACCTCCAAACTATCTGGGTATTGTATTGGCAGCAGGAAGAATCAGGCTACCAGAGCCAGTATAAGATGCACTGCAGCTGTGGGACCTCTTCTCATTAAGAAAACTGCAACCAAGCCCTGTAATTCACTGTTATTGATAAACTGTTATTCACTTCTCACCCGTTGCCGTCTCTCCTCTGCCAGCTTCTGCTGCTGTACCTCCTCCTCCTTTCTCTTCTTCTTCTCATGCTCTTCTTTTTTCTTGCGTTCCTTCTCCTGATCCGCCCGTAAAGATGCCAGGTATGCCTCATCCTGCTGCTGTCTCAGAACTTGAGTTTGGTTTCTCTCTTCTCTAACAGAGAAGGGGAAATTAGTGCCAACTAAAGGAAAAAGGTTATGACAATGTCTGTAGGATCTAGAGCAGTAGTTTCATTGCTGGTCACCGGAAGCCCTTTGGGAGACAGAGGATGGGATTAAAGGCTGCTTCTTGTAGAAGTTTCTTTGAGGGAAGGAAGGCCTCTACTGAAAGTGGAAAGAGCCAAGAGACTATTGGACAACTCAACAAGGCTTCCAGGGAACTGGCTGAGGAAGTGATGAATTTTGGGACATTTGGGTAGTTTTCCATCCTTCAGGGTTCCAATCCTGAAGACTTAGGTATTTCAAATGCAAGAGAGTCTTTCCCCATGGACTGTAAATGGCTACAGCATATGACATCCCAGCTTCTCATGAAATGTGTCACAATGTACAGTTCCTCTGAAATGTTAATCTTTTAATTCACAATTTCAGCTCAACCACATGAGTATGCACACCCACAAAGTAACATTTCACCACTGTTAGGTGCAAGATGCTGACAGACCTTGGGCAGGCTGGTCTCAGTGAGCTCCCTTAAGAGGGCCGAGGACCTTCCTACTGTATCCACCAATGCAGCCTCCCTCAGCCTAGTGCCCTCCAGACGTTTTTCAACTCTCCTCACTTCCTCCACTTGCATCTTTGCTGGAGTTGATGGGAATTGAAGTTCCAGACGTTCAGAGGACACCACCAAATCCCAGACTGGGCTAATGCGAGGGGATGAGTCAGAATTGATCCTAAAGCATAGCAGCAGCAGCAGCAGCCGCCGCCGCCGCCGCCACCACCAGCGCTTTGCTTGCCCTCTGCCTCAGAGGGCAGGTGTCTGGAAAGAAGCTTTTGTGTCTCCTCTTCACTGTCTACTTGCTAGCCCAGGTGAGAGAGCAGGTAGCACGGCAATGCAACACAAGAGAAGCACCACTGGACCTCTAAATGAAGCCTGCATTTCACTTTGTTTGAAAAACAGCAAGAATGCGAAAAAGCAGGAGTGGCATCTTAAAGAGTACACCATTAGAGCAATCTTCTTCCCTTTGACACCACCAACAATCAGTGACCTCTTACCGACAACAGGAATAGTGGCAGTGATCTTGAAATAGTGAACCTTTCTTCCCATTCACAATTATCCCTTTTATAAAAATCATAAAGTCTCCTGCACTGCTAACTTCCAACTTACACTAGCAGCTCCTAGCAAAGCAACACAATTAGCTATAACATGTATAAATATCAGTCATGAAATCAGTAACTGAAGTTCAAATAGCATATTTTTTGGCTCTGTGGTATGCTGCATGTCCAGATACTTAAATTAGGTTGAGCATGGCCTTCTGGACTTGATCGTCTTCCTGCATCAGAAGTGACAGATCAAAAACTTCATTAAAATGGAGACTACATTAGATTTAGGCAAACACAGCACAAGTCCATTAAGTAGTCTGAGGTGGTGGGAAGAGAGAGATGGCATCCCTGTCTTTAGTCTAGTACCTTTCCAATCGCTCAGACACCAGGTATGTCTGGTTGGCATCCATGATGAATGTCAATTGGTTAATGAGGTCATCAGGCTGGATGAGTCCTTCTAACCTTCCAACAACAGTCATTCTACGATCTTTCAACATGATCATTGCCAGAAATGGGTAGGTGTTCTCACGCAGCGCCTGAGATACTGAAATAAATACATAAGAATATTGTCATTCTTGGCAATCTCATCACAGAAGGCGTTTCTGAACATGTGAAGCTGACTTAAACTACCAGACTATTTGTCTGTCCAATCAACTATTGTCTACTTTGTCTAACCTTATTCATTAGAAGGGGATAGGGAATTGTCTCAGAAATCAATGAGAAATTAGGGAGACCAGATCACAGATAATCTGAATTCAGTCAACTTTCATCAAAGGACCACAATACAGGACATCCCAGATCAGGGAACTAGTAGGCAAAAATATCTGGTGGGCCAGAACTCCCCTCAGCTCTAGGTAGTATTGACTATGGGTGAGAAATTGTGGGAGTTGTAGCTTACAAGACACTCGTCCTGTCCTTTATTTATGCATAGTAAAGTATTTATACTTTGATCACTCAGTTCAAGGAATACTCAAGCTAACCAAACGCCTTTCCAGTTAGGGCAACAAATCATTAAAAAGCATACAAAGATAGGCACAACACAGCCTCCATACTGTAAATTGGACACAATTCAGTCATAATGCAAAAGCTCTAAAAATATATGTTTATTCACCTTACAATAAAGTGAGGCAGAACATAAGCAAAGTAGATCCATTTAACAGTTTATTTGATAGAGGTATACTAAGGACTAATGGTTTAGGCCAAAGGTTCAATCCAGCTTTCCGCTTCCACAGCAGACAACCTTTGCCAATGGGGATCCCCCAAGTATGGCGCAAGCCCCGTAGGACCTGCCTGCTTCTGTTCCCCAGTGACTGGCATTGCAAGGCACAGTGCCACTGATTCTGAAGCAAGATATAATCATTATGACACTGTTGTTCAAAACAGTCCATACTGGGTATCATCACTGTATCTACTAGCAGGAAATCCCATAGTTTAGCTATGTGCTGTGAGAAAAAAGAATTCCCTTATGTGTCATGAATGTTTCACCACTCCCTTGTTTTCAATATTATGAAAGATGAAACACTGCTCCCTTTCTGCTTTCTGCATGCCATGCAGTTTTAAAACGCTTCTCCTGCAGCCCACTTAGTCCTTGTGATTGTGTTTTCCTCCACGCATTCTAGCTTTATTCTTTTTGAGGTGCAGTGACCAGAACCATACACAGTATTTCAAATGTGGCAACACCAGTAGTTTGGATAAAGGTACTATGATAACGCCAAATTTATTTTAAATTCCTTTCCTAATGATCCATAACATGGAATTTGCCTCTTTGACAGCAGCCACACAATACCCACCTACAAACCCAAGATCCCTTTCCTGGTCAGACACTGCCAGTTCAGACCACATAAGCATATGACCAAACTTTGAAATTTTAGTACTTCTCTGAGTCATAACACTTAAACTGAACCCCCTTTGCCTGTTTCAAGAGATCCTTTCAGAGCTCTTCACTGCCTAACACCTTACATAATGTGGTGCTCCCAGGAAACATGGATGCCTCACAAGCTTATCTCTAACTCCAGATCATTTGTGGATGTTAAAAAGCACAAACTTTGGAAAAAACAATGCTTACTAGACCAGCCTATCCACAGGCTTGTTGACAATCTCAAAGAACACCAAAGGTTAGGGAGAGAGGACTTGTATTTGAAGAAGTCACACGGTTCTCCTCAAGTAAGTCATGTCCATGCTTGATATTATTTTAAAAAAAATCTTTCCTGCACTTTACCTGGAACCAACATTCAGCTAACCTAGAATTAAGCCTGGAATTTTCTGAAACCACCTTGTCCCGACTGCTTTCTTGTCCTCAGGCCAGGAAAAAAAGTTTGAAAATAGGCTATTTCACACTGGAGCTCTCTAAGAACTAGACAGACACTCACTAAAACCAACGATTTGTTTGGTTTCAATCTGTCAATGAGGTCTAGAACTTCATGTCTTGAATCGCTATTTGCCCCAGTACCAAAAATGCCCTTCTTGAAAATATCAGATGTAGCACCGTAGATGCATTTTGTTTTCTGCAGTGAAAACGGATGCAAAGCAATAATTTAGCTTCCTAAACATATTTACAACATTCCCACCATTTTCAATGGGATGTTTTTCCTAAGAAGCCCAGGTAAGCTTGCAGATAAGGATGAACCTGATGTATATTTATTATGGGATATGCCCAAATAAATACAGTGTTCCTGAGTTAGAATGCCTAAGATGAAGTTCCAAGACTGCTACAGCAAGACAGTGTTGGCATCAAGATGCTTACCTCTATATCCCTCTGGTTTATTTGTGGAACAGGCCCAGAAAAGCATCCTGGAATTTATAAGGGAGATCACTTCAGGTGCACAGAGTGTGTTGCTGTAGCAAGGAAATACATGACAATTCAATTGAAGTCATATACAAAAGCCATGCATGTTGCAATAAATATTTAAAAAACTAAACCAACCTACCGACAGAATTCATCAGTGTCCTGGTGGTCATCACCATGAAGGTAAACAAGCAGGAAACGTAACTCTCTCTTTGCATCATTCAGTGCCTTGAGCGTAAAGACATAAGACATTTTAGGGAGACCAGATCTGATAACTTGACACATTAACCCCCATGCGAATTGTACTCATATATTGTGCTTAAAATTCCCCTGTGCCTGCCAGACGATCACCACAGCTGAACAGCAGCTAGGGGCACATATAGGTGGGTCTCCCTGGGACTGACAGTGCCAGCCTGGCCTGTAGTCCCCCTCCCACAGATGGCAAGGTGCCTGCAATGCCAAACCAGCTGAGGAAGAAGGGGATGAGCCCGTGTCTGCCACACATGCCTTCCTGAGTCTGAATTAGGGCTTGGGAAGGCAGTGAAGGGCAGGCACCAGCACTGCTAACTGCAAGCACTGGGACAGGCACTGAGGAGAAGAGGGAAAGGGGCAGAGAAGACCAAGGTGTCCTATTTGCCTCTAGAGGAAGGCAAGTAGAGTGCCTCCTTTTTGTCTGCCATCATTGCAGTACTGGTGGGAATAGGCAGGATCCAGGCTGCATCCCTTCCCAAGAGCCAACTGGGACAGAAAGAAGCACGGGGTGGGCAACGAGAAGGACATTTCCCACTCCATTCCCCCTTTCACCCCAGGAAGAAGGAACAGGCTAGAGGTACTCCGTTTGCCTTCCTCTAGAAGAAGGTAGGCAGAATGGCTCCTTCTTATACTCCAGTGCCACAGGGATGGGCAGCATCCAGCTGCTTGGCCCCATTTCCTTGTAAGAAAGCAAGACTGAGCAGCTGGATCTTCCACTGCTTCCCCAGGCTCCTAACAGGGCATGGGGAAGCAGCACACTGCGAAACATGATGGCTTCCCTGGTTCCTTACTGATGGCAGAAGGAAAATGGGATGGCTCCTTCCCAGATGGGCAGGAGCTCAGGAGAAATTGAGGACAGCCACACTGACTGTCTTCAGCGAGAGCCCCTTGGCCAGAGGGACTCTTCTGCTTCTCAGCTTGACCATGGCATAGCATGTCAACCAGGTTCAGAGAACACATTGAACCATAGCGGATTATTTAAACCCTACAACAAGCCATGGGTAACTGGGATATTGATCATCTGACAGGAATAATGCTGGGTTCAGACAGTGTATTACAACAATGTAGCTCATAAGCTGCAGGTGTTACCATGTTGTTGGAACCCAGTCAGCCAGTCTAAGTTAAAAGTAGTGCCATTTCATCAGATGCTCACTCTACTTCAGTGTAACACATAGGGAAACACTGTGCCAAGGATTTCATCAAATGGTGATGTACACCCAAACCTTCATTTGGGAAAAAGCATCCAAAACTGCTTTCTTCCAGCTTTCCTTGTCTAGAACAAATACAGTATCTAAACATAGGGTAGGCCTTCAGTCAGGTGCCTCATGATAATTACTTTATTACAAGCTGTCCCAGAACCATTCTAAAAAGTGAAATTATTAGCTGAGCACTTCTATTTCTCATGCCTGGATCAACACAGGCAACAGTAACTGAACCTTCAATTGAATTTTTTGCGTTTGGGTAGGAAAAGATCTTCAATTTTACTTTGAGGAAAAATTCTAGATTATTTCTGCAAGAATCTCATCTTCAAAACAGGGAACAGCAACAGGACAATACCACAAATATCAAAGTCAGCCTCTTGCACCAACCTGGCTGTAAGTTCCCTGGTAAAAGACTGGATGCATTCTTCCAAATTTTTCTTCAAACATATGAATAAATGAAACAATGTCACCTACAGGGTCAGTGACGCGGCTACGAGGATCAGGACGTATGAATCGCAAAGCAAACCTAAGAAAGCACATAAGATTAAAATATCAACTTACTAGATATCTAGATCCTCAAGAACAGGGGTCCTCAAACTTTTTCAGCAGGGGGCCAGTTGAAAGGTGCCAGTGCTGGGTGTGGGCTGGAAAGGTGGTGCTGGTGGTGCACGCAGGCTGGTGAGGGGGTAGGGGCGGTGCGTGAGTGCACTGAGGTGGGGGTGGGGCGTGTGGCGAGGTGCGGGTGGGCAGATGCGCGCAGCAAGGGGAGGGGAGGCAGGCGCATGAGGCAGCGGCTTGTTCACTTGGAGATAGTTTTTTCCGAGCGAGCAAACCGCTGCCTCTCTGCGCGCAGGGTGAGGTGGCTGGCGGCGCGCGCGCACATGGACATGGGTTCAATGGGTCCAAATGGGCATGGTGGGCCGGATAAATGGGCATGGTGGGCCGGATCCGGCCCCCGGGCCTTAGTTTGAGCACCCATGCTCAACAACATGAGTGGGCTGACTTCAGTCTTATGTGTTCTATATTTTAATGAGAACCCCATACATCAGTAATATGAATGAAGTTTAAAAAACAAAAAATCCATATTCAAGATCTCTTAACATGGATGAACTATGAATTAAGTTAGTTTTTAGCTATGTTCTAGCATACAGCACATCAAGATCCACCTAGTCCAGAATCTTTGTGCTATTATTATTATCCAATGATTACTGGGTCACTCATGATTGCTGGCCACTCATCTACCAGCAAACCAGTACGCTTCCTTCTTATGCACTTTTGCTATAAAACATTAGACTCATTGGGTAGTGAGTGATGGCAAATGTCAGAATAAAGGAATCTGCTCAGTACATACAAGCATGAACTAAGTCTGGACTTACCTAAATATATCAAGTAAAGTGTAATATGTAAATCGGAATGGAAGCATTATCAAATAGTAACCCCATCCTAACAAGCCCTGAAATGACAAAAACAGAGTTAGGTATTTATCGCTGAATTGCATTTATGGACAGGTGAAATATTTTTAACCCAGCAGCAGATATATTGCTGATAGGTTTCACTGACTGCTTTTCCCTAGTATCTCAGCATACTGAAAAATGAACTTCAGTGCTAGGTGCTGAGTTTTGTTTTTGTTTTAATGCAAGGGATGCTCTTGTGCAGCCTTCATATATTAAAAATGGGTAGTCAACTAAGGGTTACTTCACATGACTTTCCCCTCCTACCCAGAGAACATAGGACCATTACCAACAAAGTTTTAATCACTTATAGGGATAAAAAAGGAAAAGTCAAGGACACATCATTTCTGAAGTGCAACACAACACGATTGTTGTTGTTGGTTTGCAAGTGCCTATGTTGGGAAACTATTTTGCTTTTACAATTTACTGCAGAACAACAAAATATATCATATCAGCTATAAAAAGAATGGAAAACATTTGCACAGTCTTCTGTAGGAAGGACATGCTATTCAAGTTGAACCCAGCTGATAAGACCTGAACATTTCAAGACACAGAAAATTCACAGGAAAAGTATTTGCTCCGTATCTGCTTTATTTTTTGCAGCATTAGTTGCAGACACAATTCATTCATAATCTAAATCAATTATAAAATAACCTGCCCTTGGTTGCGGCCTTGAAACAACATAGCTGTAGATTCTGTGGTCAGCAGTATTGACTTGTAGCGGTCGAGAAGGTGGTGGATTGAAGACACTTGGGACACCTTCTTGTTCATTCAGTCGATCCTGAACAGCAGCCTATAGAAGGAGCACCATTAAAAAGTGCAACAGAGACATTCTGAATGTCACCAAGATGGAATTACCTTGGACTGTCAGAAGACCCAGAGAAACGCCTCATTTTCAGTACAGAAGATCAGAAATCAGTTCAGAAATCTTAAGTAATAAAAGGATTGTGCACAAGATGACTTTTCAAATCAGGAAGATGAAGCTATGGCTAAAAGTAGTCAAAGCACACAGTGAAACTTAGATTTGCCATTTTAAATATGCAGCTCCAATTCATCTAGAAAAGACCAATTTATGCAACACAGAGGCACTTCCAGAACCACAGAAATCCTGGCAAGCTCTGTATTATTACAATTATCTATAGCTTCCTCCAAATTCATGAAATAGATACTACAGCTCATGTACTGAATTTAAGCAATATTGTTATTTGAAATGTCTTTGAACAAGGTAAACAGTACTAAATGTACTTATAAGGGTTTACAAAGAATCTCTAACTTCTCCTTGTCTGTGTGCTTCTCTTTTTGGCCATCATAGTGTTTGCCCTTATATGAGGAAAATTTGTTTTATGTTTAAAAATAAAAAAGTGAAACCATACCAGTTAGCATCCAAGCACTTTTACATCACCAGGAAATCAATTGAAACAGATTTTAAATATATGCAGATACTTATGGTAGAACCGCAGAATGCTCAGAATCCACCTTCCTGAAAATTGCAGCTCAAATTTACAAAACAAGGCATATTTGTAGCCCTTAACTGAGAAGGCATGCTTGAAAAAATGTGGGAAGAATCCAAAGAGATGAATAAAGATTTCTATTGTTTAGAAGTAGGGCTGGACTGCAATATTTTGCACAACTCTTTGCCTCTTGCTGTGATTAGACTTTTACAGAGTACTGACACTGAAGTATTATGTAAAATAAAGGAGCATGGCTGTAGAGGGCATAAATATGAATAATATAAGACATCCACTTTGTTTTTTATCACAGTGTATACACTGCCCTTATTATAAGTAGCATGGCCTTGAAAAAGATTCATTGTCAATGTATTTCACAGAACAATGTCAGACTTTGGAGATGCTAAGTCACTATATTAATCTGTGCAATAAGCAGGTCCAACTGGTTCAGTACCTCTATGTTCCAGTTGTGTTGCTCCAGAGTATGACGACACTGGTCCATGGACTCGATGCCAGTCAAATCCTAGAAGAAAAAGCAGGTAAACTTAAATGAAACCATGCACTTCTTGAATTAAAGTTGAATTTTGTGTTGTTCATTTAACCCACTTCTCTTCACAAATCAGATGAGGATATATGATTATAAACTACCTTACAAGAGAAACAAACACTTAAAATAATTAAAAAAATCTACAAACATGAGAGCTTATTTTAAAGTTCATACACTGGTACCTTGGCTCACGAATGCCTCAGTTCACGACCAAATCGGGTCATGAACTGCTTTTGACAATATTCCTAGGGAAGACATGTCTAGCTTTGTTGAGATTGAGGCAGTGTTCTAAATCTTGAAATGCTTCAAGGTCATTCTTCCTTCACCAGTGATGATTTCAGTGGGTGCTATTTTTGTCATGTGTGTTCTCTTTTGCCAGTAGTATTTCATTTGGAATAAGTAGGGTTCTCCTCTTATACCATCAAAAACAAAAATGATGAACCACACAACAGATGTACCATCAACTACTTTTACAAAACCAGAAATTGACTTTTGTGGAGGGATATTAAACACAACATTAATTTTACTCAGGCTGTACTAACTAGCTCAGTCATTATTATCACTAGCCTGTTCTGCTCCTTCTTTGCTTTTTCTAAAGTTTTGTTTCATTGATTTGAGAGCATCATCAGAACAGACCTTCCCACACACACCACCACAATTTTCCTTTCCTCTGTTATTGTAATAAGCATGCAATCGTAAATAACTAAGCATGCTTATTGTTAGAGCACAACTATATTTTATCAGAACATTTTAAGAATTATCCCCAGACTTCAAAACAGTATTTCATTCCTTTTCCTATTAAATGGCAAAATGCCATATATTGCTCCTATTTACGGATCAGAAAAGAACTCAATTTGACTCCAGGCAGAACAACATGCAGGCTAGAGAAGGGGTCATCACAGTCTGAGTTATTTTGGAATGCTGAGTGTGTGCTGCGGGTGCTCTCACAAAAATGGGGAGGTCTTGACCATTCATAAAATGGGAGGCATGACCAGCTGCAAAACACTCATTTCCCAGAAAACATACTGGTGAGACTAAAGCAAAAGTAATTTGCCCAAGAATCTAAGATTAAGGTATAGTACGGCCTGAATGCCAAAACACAAAACCATTCTTCTGAATCAAAGTAAAGTTGGAACTGAGTAGCAGCCGTTCAGTTTGTAGGTTTGCCTTAAGGTTACACTAAGATCAGGGATTGTCATACCCCAGATAGCAATCACTTCTTGATATTCTCCACCCATAACAAAGTTCCTTTAATTGTTCTTCTGTCTCTATCTTCTTATTTATAAACAATAGTCTTATTTTGAGTTTCAGCACTATGATTAAGAAGGCATTTACTTCCTCTCCTTAGCACTTTTCTTGTTTATTTTGAACCTTTTATTTCTCAGCATTCTGTCGAATTTTTATTCATCTTCAACCTTCTAGTAGCACAGATTTCATATTTATATCAACCATGAAAAAAATACTTGATATTCTTTCTCTAAAATTTTACTGCCTCAATCCATAATGCTGTTGTGCTGATAAAGGCATACAAAAATAATTCAACGTAAACCTTCAAGCTTTAGAATTCCACTTAGCCAGTTAAGCTGGTACTCCTGGTCTTGTTTCATCTTTGCTCAGCCTTCAACTATGTAGGAGACATCAGATAACAAGCTTTGTTCTGCAAACCAGTGCATTAGCCAATGTGAACTTAAAAATATTATTTCCTGTAATATTTATAATTCCCCAAGGGAATCCCAATTCTTCCTCTTTCAGTATTAACAGCATATGCCTTCCCAAGAAGACCCAAAATAGGGTTTAAATTACTTCCCAAAAACTCAATATACAATTCCCCATCATTTGCCTGAATAGGCATGTGTAGTAACTTTCTCTTCAGATTTCTAAGCTGATTGCTGATCTTTTCAATAAAGGCTGCCACTGTTCAAGGTTCAAACATTCATTTGTCCACTTCTATACATCTAGAACTGCTGCCATCTGCAGTAAAATTGGCTACCAGACTTTTCTCTATTTAAAATTATGTGAAGGACCAAAGCAGTTTTATGTGAGGAAAACATACATCATCACATACCAGTATTTTCATATAGGTCTCAAAGGTGACAGTGGAATAAACATTTTAAGCCAGGGGTTGACAGGCTTCAGTCTTGTAGGTCCTTCTTTTTAACCATAGTCTCGAGAAGCCCACCAAGCAGAGATAAACACAAAAGATATACATAATTGAGGATTGCATCTTTACAAGTACTTGGTTTGATTCCAATAATTTGTTCTTGCAACCAGAACTTAATTGAGCTCACAGTCCTTGCATACAAAAATTAACTCCTAGTTATCTCTTGGCAAGGCTTCTTTACTTCAATAGTGGAATATTTGGGGGGACAAGAGGCATTTTTTGTTGCCACTGTTAAACAACCATTTTCAGATCTATTCAGAAAACCAAGAGATCTACCTTCCATTCAGCCCACTTTATGCTATATACAATTTAGCAAGAAGCATATTTAAATATCTTCCCCATCCCAATCAGCATAAAGTAATATTTGCCAGAATATGGTAACACTGGCATACGTAATATGGTATCCCAAGAGAATGTCAGTTTTTGTGTCCACATCTCTGGGCTCTGTAACATAACTCTGATTTAATCAAGGCCAAAAACAGTGGAGCCAGAAGAACTATCAGATAATACTTTTCTTGTCAATGTTACAACAGTAGCACTTCACAGCATTTGTTGCACAGTCCTGGAACATTTTCTACACCAAGTACCTGTAAAGATGCAACCCAGAACACTGAATTCTGTTATCACCCAATTCCTGATAATATATTCTGTGGCTTAAAAATGGCCATAAAGTCAGATCACTAAATCTGATGAGTACATTCCCAAATGGAATTCCCCCTGCTTCCACCATTGTCTTGCATTAAGGGGACATAATGCAAGTATCTTTCAGTATCTTTATACCGAAAGATAAATGAATGAATAAATAAATGGAAAATAGTACTATTAACTGTCCTTGAGGTGTTTATGTTAGCACAACATATTTTACATTGCCAGTTGCATCCTGTTGGATATTGCCCATGAAGTTATCGATTTTAGTATAGTTCACAACTGCAAAATATCCCCTTCTAATCAACTATATTATTCATTTTAAAAATGATTTTTTCACTTAGATAGTTTTTACTTACAAAGAAACTGAATAACTACTACTATATCCTGGTTTGGCCAACATGACAACTCACCACAGTTTGAACAAAAGACCTCAGACTGCTGACACGTTTGGAAACTAAAATACCTGTCTATTCATATATACCTATTTTGCATATATGTCCACAATAACATACCAGTGGCCTTAAAACAGATGTGAATAACTATTCTATTTATGCTTTGTAACAAATATACATCAGGAGAAACAGCTGAACTGAAAGGGAGGGAGGGACCTGAAGCACTACAAAAACTTAAATCTTCATCTGGAGCACAATTCCAAACGAGCGGGCCTCCTGAGTGGATTCTCTTTTTTAAAATCCTGTCACGTTAAAACATTCCTGGATTTCACATATGAGGTTTTATTCTGATATATCATTTAAAAGGTACATTTGCATGCAGCCTATGACAGGCTCTGCAGCTATTCCCAAACCACTGCCAAATTCCAGAGAATTATGTTTCCAAGGTAAAGAGCACCTGACTTCCAGCAGAACAAAAGTCCAGTTTTAGAGAATTTGTTCTCTGAAGCTACAATGATCAAAGCCTGTAAACATGAATAATTTCTAAACAGTTTAGTAAAAAAATTCTTCTAGAATTACTGAATGTTCTTTTCAGCCAGAATTTCAATAATTTGAGCTGGCTTGCATTTTCCACACACCACAGACTTTACTTCAAAAGGGTAGAAAGTGTTGCCACTACTTCAAATACAAAAGCCATTTCCAAGGACAAAGTAAAGGTACTTCTAAGGTCATTTTAAAAGGAATTCTGCTCTCTTTGGAGCTGTACAATCCACCCCTTTAAGCCTTAGGGAAGCAACTTGGATAGATGAAGTCAAAATCATCTGCTTGGAAAACAGCTGTATAATGCTAGAAAGTGCTTTTTCTCCAAGGTTAAAACAACCAAGATACCTTCCCTAGTATTCAAAGGAGAAGGGCAGGATGATAGCAGAAGATGCTTAAAGGAAAAGATCAGCAGAGAGGAGTAGAAATTAAGCTGATCCATACTTCTATCAGCTCCACTGTTCCTTGAACAACCTAATATTAACCTGTTTAATAGATTTTGGAGAATCACTTAAATATATGCTCAACATTTCTACTGAAATAAATGAAAATTAAAGTGTTCAACTCTGACCAGATTGTGCACCAGATCTCTTCTTAGAGGAGCTTAAAAGATTCTCTCTGCTCACAAGCAATAAAATGCCTTTCTGTTTTTTAATTAGATTTATATCCCACTTTTTTTCTTTTTAAAGAACTCAAAGCAGTTTGCATTATTCTCCTCCTGCTGCTCTCAATCTTACTCCCGAAAACAAAACCCTGTGAGGTAGGTTGGGTTGAGAGTCTGTGACTGGCCCAAAGTCACCCAGTTTGCTCCTGGACTGAGCAGAGACTAGAACCCTGCTTGTCTGAGTCCCACTCCTGTACTCTTAACCACTACATCACACTGGCTCTCTTGAAGCTCTGTCTGCTCTGTAAACAACATTATTCATACAGAAACACCAAAGAGTTTAAGTAACACTGCAAATATCAAGTAGAAAATACATCTACACCGTAAACCAGCCCTTTCCAAACCAGTGCCCTGCAGATTTATAGGACTACAACTCTGATTAAACCCGATCAGAAAGGCCAATTCTGCCTAGGGATAATGGGACTTGCAGTTCAATCCATCTGGAGGGTGCTGGGATGGGCAAGACCACCATAAATACTGTACTCCACCATCCTAATTCTTTAAGTGACTAAAGGTATTCTTTGCCCAAGTATAACACCAGTTCACTTCCAGCAACATGCTTAAGGACAAGCCTTACAGAACACAAATTTAGATGCATGTTTGCTGCTCTTGCAATGTAAGAATAGCACTCCCTCTTGTCATAACATACAGCACTTCGGATGTACTCTATTCTACCATTAGACTCTCTTAAATTGCTCTTAGCTCTGGGGATTCATTTATACTGCCTGAGTGCTTGAGCTTGCAGATTCTTGTTTTCTAGACTTCTGCTACTGCACTCTAATAACAAAAATTAAACCCCCACCTCTTTTTCTGCTATCAGTGCTCACACATGCCCTGAGCAGTTAACTCATGTTTTATTACGTTATCCTCTTGTGTCTTGTGATGCTGCAGTGCTAAATAAATGACTAGCTATACTTGTACATTTGAACACAGCATAACATTTACAGCTGTATGCTTTTAGTTTAACATCTGTCTAAAGACATTTCCCCAAACAAGCATAATGTTATTTAAAAACAAGCCTGTTTTCAGAAACAAGCCTGTTTTCTTGATAATAGGAAGCAGGTTTAAGTCATAGATAGGGAACAGCACCAATGAAGTTTAAAAAGCTTATATTTCAAGATACCAACACATAGTCTTGAATTCAGAACAGCTAAGCAGGGATGTAATGGACAGGACATTTTGGAGGGCTTTCATTCATAGGGTTACCATAAGTTGAAGAAGACTTCATGGCACATAACACCATATCCTTTTGAAACTGACATGACATCAAAAATCCTTTAATTTAGATGCACAGTCTGATAGTTCACTATCACTAGTTCTTGGAAGATACTAGTGATAACCCCTATCTGCAAACTTTGCACATTTCTATTTTAAATTCCTGTGGTTAATTATTAATATTTGTTTAAAGATTTCACAAACTACCAGAATGAAACAGACACTTGTTGGGTTCAGTACTCTCTGTAACACTATAAATAAAGGAGGAAATGAGGAAAACCATAAGTAGCATCTGAGAAAGCAGGTCATTCAAAGACACAAAGGGAAGATAATTTGTATCTGAGACATTTTGGCTATTAGGTAAGAAATGGTACCTTATATTATAACAATGATTATAATGTCTATTATACCTAATTAAATCATGGTCTGAACAGATATATTATTTCAAATAAACAAGCAAACAGACAGTCACTTACAGGTCCCTTTCTGCTCACCAAGACTGACAAAGCTTTCTAGAAGCTATAGTGAAAAGAGAATACAAAAACAGATAATATAGTTTCAAAATCCATTTCTGGGTTATACCTCTGCTGGAACAACCAAAGTGTCAAAAATAATGTGTGAGCTTCTGAATGCTTTGGAACTTTTCACCAGGCTACATGTTAACAAAGTAGGGATGAGAAAAATCCAGCTTATGTTAAAGCCATGGAGTCTATCTTTAGTCACATTTTACGATGTAATGTGAGTGAAAATAACAGACCTAAAAGTTAAGCTCTATTAGGTGCTGTGATGGTCAGGTTGTACCTAGAACTGTGTCATAGGACTGCTGGGATGAAGAAATATACAATGGTCACATTTGCATAACACACTAAGCTACTCTTCAACTAAACTGGCTAGAGTGGCTTGTTCACAGAACCTACAGTACACTCAAAAGATAATCAGACTCATTGTGATGTCCGGTCCTTTGGTCTTCCAGCCAGTATTCTTTATAGCAGAACCCGCCTTGTCTCTCCCTTCAATGCTCTGATAGCGAGCCCTTTCCATTTACTGCTTTTTGGGGGGTTTCCCAGAGCCTCAAAAAGCACTATTGCATTTTTATATCCACTGAAAATTGTGAAACTGTATTCATTTTTTTTAAGTTAGTCTTTTATGAGTACATTCTTATGGATGTCCAATATGTGTAGTCTTAACTGGTTAGCTTCTCTGTACATTGCGACTACACAGTTCTCATAAAGCAATTATTTCATTGTCAGTTCAAAAACACCATTAGTGGGGTGCGGGGAGCAGTGAAAGCAAACATAATAAAAGAATGGTAGGGAGACAATATCTCCCCCTTGGCAATGTGATCTTCTGGCTTTCAAGTGTTGGAAAAAAAAGGATTCTATGCATCTGTTCAGCACTACACCTCAGTCTTCAGCTATTCCAGAAAGAAGAGATATTAACGCTTCTTCTTTTCACAACTCATTTTTGGAGTACTTACAGCTGTGGTTACTGCAGTTCTCTGACAAAACAAAACCAACCCCACACAAATAAAAATGCAAATTTAATGAGTGAAAGAGAGGAAATGTATGCACTTGCTGTTATTGTGAGTAAATTCCCCCTCTACTTACTTCCCAGCCATTCAAGTTATGCATTTCCCAGTCCAAAAACATGCACGAACACTGAGAAGATCACATTGCTAAATGGAAGATATTATTCACCTTCCCTTTTAGTGTACCTTCTTGAGCTCTTTTCCCTCTTTAACTAGTTCTTTCCAATTCACAGCTAGGCAATTGAACCCTGTATATACAGTCTCAGTTTGCCATTTTCCTTGAATGTTACCTGCCCCCTTTCCAACAGTGAAAGATACAAAGAAATTAACCAAAAAAGACTACACGTGTAGGACAGGTCTAAGTTTACTGGCACAAGACTGACAAGAATATGGAACACATTTGTACAATGTTCTGGGCCCAAAAAGAAAAGTGAACTTTGGTGCTCCCAAATGCTGCTTGAACAACCATGGAGGGACTGTCACTAGCAGTAGCAAGGATGAGATTGTAGGGGGTTTGGTACTCTTACCAAGCAGCGCATTAGCTGATTCCTGTAATCTATGGGAAAAAAATCAATCTCCTGGGTTCAGACAAGACAACCTATTGCATGTTGAATATTCCCTAGACAGAACCACAGATTGTCTAAGTGACTTGTTGCTAAAAACAGGATACTTATGGGAAGTGATCTGTACTCAGATGACACATCATCACACTGTGGCTGGTTATCCTCAAATGCATTGTTGTGTCGTGTGAACACAGACAATGTAGGATATGGGGAACCTAGAATTAGCTGTGCTTTTTTCCTCCCACAAAATCTATCAAATCCTATTACAATAAGTGACATTAACTTTTAAACAAATGTTCCTTGAAAACTATTAAATATAAATGTAAGAACTGTATTAGTCATGTGTGCAAAATTATAATATTAAGAGCAGGAAGTAATTGAAGGCCTTGCCCATCAATTAAAAGTAGTCAAACAATTAACCAAACCTTCCAGAAAGTATTATAAAGCAGGTGTAGGCCACCTGGTGCCTACCAGATATTCTGCAATACAACTCCCATAACCCATGAACAATAACAATGTTGGCTAGAGTTGATGAAAAGTCATCCTTAGGTTGTAGTATTTTAAACAACCCCACAGTCTGAACTCTAAAAGGAGGCTGATTTGATGGGAATAGGGTCATCAATGAGTTCCTTTCTATTAGAAAAACTTCTAGTATAATCAAACTAGTAAATCAAACAAGAATTCTTGTAATTGCCAATGCCTGTGCAAGATGCTTCTAATCAGTGCTGGTTAGTTTTGGGGATACTTAGGGAATGGCTAAATGGAAAATCATCTGTTTAGTTTTTAATTACTCTGATTTGCTACCCTATAAATAAGGATAAAAGAGTTCATATTCATACATTTATACTTGTAAGCAAAGACCCCATGAATGCAGCAGAATTTATATCCAAGTAAACATGGATTAGATTGTATGTGAACTTATTCCCATCCTACAGTACAAGAGAACAACCATTTCCATCATGCCTCTCCCTCTGTTAATCAGTCTGGAATACAGTGGGATGTTCTTGCCCCATGCAGGAGTAATGACTGTTGTCCTTAACCACTTTAAGCTGCAATCTTCACTAACCTGATAGCCTCTTGCTGTTTTGGACTACAAGTTCCATCAGTCTCTACCAGAATGGATGTTTATGGGTACTGGGAGCTGCAATCCAAACTCTAGAGAGCAACCGGTTGGGAATGGCAGTCTTACGTGTAAATGGCTATTAATGAACTTCTATAACAAAAATGCACCCTGCAAGCTATTTTTTCCCAACGAGCTTAGCAGCCTATAGACAGTTTTCAGAGACTATACACTGCTTTCTTGTTAAAATTCTTCTCGAAAAGAATTTACAAGCCACAGAGCAGGGCTTTTACAGGGTCGGGAGACACCGCTAAGCGGAGGCGTCTTTAGGCCCGGGAGGTGTTACCCTACACTAAACGCTTCTACAGTAAAAACTCACGGTTTCCCCCTCTGGCCCCGCCGCCATCCCACATCCAGCAGAAACCTGAGGCCAGGCTCCTTTTGGCCACTCCCCGCGCTGGAAACCCCTGAGACACGGAGAGGCTGGGCTCTTGCCGGGGCGGCTGGCCTGGCTCCATCCACTAAGTGCTACCCATCCACCTTGCCGAAAACAAGCACCTGGAACTGAAGCAATTTCTCAGTCTGTTCCGCCGACAGCTCCCGCTCCTCTGGAGCCGCCATTTTGCTACCGCCTCTGACCTGCAGCTGCGTCACTCCACGGACGTGACGCAACAATTCGAAACTTCCGGCTACGTTTTCCACGCACGTGCTCCGG